GACTGTAGTTCAAGAGGTGCCTTGGAATCACCAGTGAAGAGCCTTTCCAATTTTTTTTTTAATGCTACAGAGATTTCATCTAGAAGAAACATTGAAATGAATTGTGGGCTTTTTTTCCTCAAGGAAAAATATTTTGAAAAAAAATCTAAAGGGAATCAAAAGAAATTCATTAACTCCCCTTCATCTCCTTAGTGAGGTTTCATCTCTTGTCATGATCCACGCCAGAGACAGGCTAGTCTGGGGATTAATTTACAACGTTCTTTAGTCGGGGTGCCTGGATTAGGGTGCTCGTACTATTGTTGGAAAATTCAAAGCAAGACTGAGAGATCTTGCCTCTAGAACAATGACAGCTGTTTTCAGATATTAATATGTGCTTATATGGAATTCTCATTTGTGTGAGGCAGGAAAACGGCACGCCTATCAGTGGATATAAAACCATTGAAATCCACAGCAGAGTTTTCTGGGCAGATGGAGTATTTTTGCTTTTTCACTTATGCTGTGGCCTGACTTAGTCACTGGACTTAAAAAGACAACAGGGGCAATAATAATGACTGTGAATAAATGATGATTCAGTCATCTGTTATAATAAAATATTTTTTTGCATTTCGTTTTTCATTTGTACACTAATAATTCTGCAAAGCATTGGCCAGTAACGAAGACAAAAACCCATAGACTTTATTTATGCTTGGGATTATGAATGCATCTCTTAAAACTCTTCCTGTTAGTTTTGATTGAAATGTTTCTTATTCTTTATTTCTTTTTTCTTCCCCCACCCCCTTTCCCCCCCTCCTTTTGGGTGTGTGTTTCTGTCGTTTAATGGAGCGGTAAATAAGAATTTCTGATAATGAGCCCAAGCATCTGTCACAACAACCTGGCGCTGGTTATTAACATTTCCATTAACGGCAGGGTGGGCAGCGATAATATGGAAACAGCACAGTTAGAACAAAATAAATAGTTGGTGTCAGGCTGAGTGGGTGTTAATTACTATTTTATTTTATAACCCCAGAGAGCAAGATTGCAAAAAACATATATAAAATATATTATTATAATAATGCGGCTCGTGAAGGTTAGCGCTTGAAAAGAAAGCACCTAGAGGAGGAACAAATACCCAGGGCTGTATCATCATCGGGTGGCAAAGATTGTATGGTTTCTATTTGCAGTCTGTTGAGTGGGCATACAGCAATGAGGCTGCCCACGAAAGCACGGTGCACAGAGGTTATGACAATACCAGCTGCAGGCAAGAAAGGAGGGCGGTTGTTACTCCATGTTCTGTTTCAGCCATCCCCGTAGAAGTTGGCTGCCTGCTTCGAGCAGGAAGTCGTTCAAAGCTGATACAGAATGTCGGCGGCTGCTGTTCATCCGCTGACAAACATGGGGATGATGCACTGACCAGCTAGCTCCTCTTTTGAAAAGCAAATTGATCCTCCAGGAAGCAGCTGCTTTGTGTTTGCACTCTTAGAGTCCCGCAAATACTACCCCTGAGCAGTGTTATATCTCACTCAGAACTGAAATGAGTTTCTTTCTAAATATACCTGTCAATAAACCAGGGATGGATGAACTGGCATCCTTCAGGCAAACCAAATTTAAAATATTGGACTGGTAGCTCTTGCTGTGGTTGGCATTGGTGCCAGTTATAACCTGGAGAGCATCCAAGACTTAATGCTTGGGGAGATTTTTCATGTGCACTAGGCTAACTTCCATTGAAAGGAACTAAAGCATCACTCTTACAGGTTTGCGATTACACTATTTTGTGGGGCTGCTTTGCACATTTGCTTTGCTTCATCATTCATGGATAACCACACACCCTCCCCATATTTTTCAGACATTGCCATTGGCTTCCAATGATAACCCTTCTATGTTTTCCCACTATATCTTCCGCCTTTTCTTCCTGCCACAGAAAAATTTGTGAAGACAAAAGGCCTGCACATTGCCTTTCTGGCTGCCTGTCTGTTTACATGCCAACTGTCTTCATCAGACAGAACCCAAAACAGCTTATAATGTAGCTTAAAAACAATACCACTAAATGCACTTCTTAGCTCTGGCAGGAGTCAACCCATTGAACCCATGGGTGTCTGATAAGACAGCACTTAAGAAAGTTCCACTGATTCAGTGTGTCCATCCTGACAACTGGATTTAGACCAGTGTCTTCTGTTTGATTGTACTAGGAGTTGTCCATATAGGGGCAGGCTCAAGGTGGAGATGCGAGTTGTCATGGTGGAAGGCGCCCCCCCCCCCCAATAGAGAAGCAATCTCTTGCACAGAAAATGAATGTTTCGGGGAAAAGCTTCAGTTAGAACAAAATATGGCAAAAGATCACATTAGCTGAGGAACAAGTGAAGGTGCCTTTGGTATTGTGTGTGGTGTAGCATTGTTAGGTCCTGTAATTGTGATGCCAGAATAGATGTGTAGGCAGAGTTGGCACCTGGGTCTGTGGCAGAGTTTAATCCCCCTGTCTGTGTTTTGTGGTACATTGTGTGTTAATATTTGCATGAGGTTGGAGAGAGGGCTCTCTATAGGCAAGTATGGGTCTCCCACCAAAGACTTTGGAGAATGAAGTGTTCTTGTCAAGGATGTGGCAAAGTAGGCAACAAGAAGGTAACAAAAACAGAAGGGTCAGGTCAGGCGATTCTCATCATCTCTGACACGCAATTCCTGAGCAACTTATTATGGGGAGGGGGAAAGCAAGTATCCCTGCCATGGGGCTTACAGAGTCAATGCAGATGAGGATATTAGGCTGGGTCGTGCTCTCACCCATCGAGTGACTGGACTGGGGGCAAAGATGTCTAAAGCTGACCAGACACATCCAATGCAAACAAAATGCCCAGTCAAACTAAGATGGTCCCACATGGGATGAACTCCGGAACACTGATCTTTTATAAAAAGTTGACAGGATTGTTTCAAAAGTTGAGGGTATCCCTTGGAACATACCCTTGAATTTATTGACTCCTGGTTCTAAAGCAATTCTGCAATTTTTTATTTTTTTATTTTTATTTTTGCTTTCAGTCTGTTGACTTCTAGAAGCAGTAAAAGTTTCATGCTGCTCCCAGCCAGTGAGCAAGTGGGGTTTCCTTTTGAAAAGAGCCATAGCTGCTCCCTGTGACCTGAAGCCAGAGAAGGTGGCAGGAGATGGGGAATAAGGAAGGGAGAGTATTTAAGAATCCAGTTCCTGTGTTCCGGCCAATCCCTTTGTTTGCCTTATGCCTTTTTATACCTGCTCACAGTGGTGGATTTTTGTTTCTCTCTTCATTCTCTCCCGGTGTTCTTCTCTTCCAGCACCAGCGAAGCCCCCACTGAACATCCAGATTAATGCACTCTCTGCAAGTCAGTTGGAAGTCATCTGGGACCCTCCTCCTTCAGACAGCCAGAATGGCAACATCCAAGGCTACAAGGCAAGTGGGCGTGCGTGCGTGTCTATGTGAACATGTCAGGGTGCAAGTCCTCTATGACAGCAGCTCTTTGAAATGAACATAGCAACAAAAATTGGAGCCGGGTACGTTTCACAGCTGAGGACCTCTTTACAAAGAATGTTGCATAAGTGTGAGGGATGCAGACATGTATGTGTGCATGTGTGAACATGATGCAGGCATAGTTAGCTTGTGACTGGGATGGCATATGCCCCCCAAAATTCAAACTAGATCCCAATGAAACATCTCTGGGGGTCTTAGAGAAGACAGGACAGCAACAGTCTTTTCCTGCAGTCCTTCCCAAGCACATTGGTATTCAGAGGGGGGGGAGTTCGATTCCCCTCTGGGCCCCCTTGACAGGGCCTGGACTCAATGATCCAGAGGAGTCCCTTTCAGCTCTGCAGTTCTCAGATGATGAAGATGATTGCCTCTAAATCTGAAAATACCTTGAATAAAGTGGCCCTAAGAAGAGAAGGAAGGCATATCAACATTTCCAGGAGTGAATCAAGGCTGGAATCTTTCAGTAACAGGGATTGTTTCCTGAAGGAGAGAGCTGAGATGGGAAATAGAACAGCATTCAGTGAAGGTCTTGGCAGCACAGTGACAATGGATTGCGTTTCTACACTGATGTTCTGCATCATCAGAAAGTTCTTCTATCTGCCAGACTTTCTGAGTGAGACAAAAGTTGACTGACTTGAAGATCGCACAAGTCTATCAAGAAAATATGCAGTTCCAATTTTGAGTTCTCATGAACCTTACTTATTTCCTTATTTAATTATGCACATATATTCTGGCTGTCAGTCAAAAGGGACTCACCATTTGGCCTGTGGTGGCATATACTATCATCCAGTATCAAAAAGATAAAGGAAAGACTAATCAATAGCTGACAACCAGCATCATCAATATGCAATATGAATGCAACGAGCCTTAGGCTTTCTCAGTCCATTAACTCAAAGACTTGTGTTTTAAACAAAGGCTAAATCTGATTTTAATCCCAAGTAAGCAATACCCATTGGAATGAATGGGACTTGCTAGCCCAGAGAACAAACTATAATGTCTCTGAGCCAGTTGGTACTAAAATTGGATTTAATCCAAAGTTGCAGCTGGGAGAGAGCAAACGGAGGTAGCCACCACACCTCATATGGCTGAGGAACAGGACACAGCACAAGCAGAGATGATGGGTCTCCTGGGGGAAGAGGCTGAGGCTATGCCCTGAGGATATTGCAGAGCTTTAAAGATCAGAAGCCTACCTTGACATACTGTATCTCCAGAAACCACCCAGGAGAGTGCAAGTAGGCGTCGATGTTCTGAGGGATCCACTCCCGCTAACGGACCAGCAGCCACATGACGAGTTTCATTTCCCAAGTGCTCTTCAAAAATGGCCCTGCATAGACTGTGTTATAGTGATCTGCACTGGATCCAGCCAGAGCACTAAGAAACCATGGCCAGGCTCTTCTTCTTCCCCAGCTGGTGCACTCGCACGACCTGGAGAAAAGCACTCCAGGACAGGGAGCGTCACCACCAGCACCGGCAGCAGGTCTGCAGGTCACACCAAAGATGAGACTCAGCCAAGAGTTTATTGCAGGTTTACATCCAAAACGGGAAAGGATGTTAGGAGCACAGTAACTATAAGGCCTGCAGCCTGGCTTTGGTCAATGCCTTGGCTTTACCTCTGCCTGCGTGTTAGAGGCACAAATAGGGAAAAACTGAGCCAATGAAAATAATCTGGCATTACTACTTGGCAGAAGCATGCTCCCTGCTATGGCAATCTGTGTATTTTCTCTTTTGTTTGTGTGCAGGCTGTTCTAATAGCTTGGCTTGTAACACCAGTGCAGACTCTTGGCTGGACTCAGAGGTCAGACCCCTGGCTTCCCTCGGCTGGGGATTGATTAACTATTACACTCATTAGTGGCTAACTCACAGCCAAGCTGCTAGGGGAATGATCAGGCTTAGGAGACGGCCTTTGCACTTGGCCATGGGGCCAGTAGTATCTGCCTAGAGGGCCCAATGAATTACATGGTCATAAAATCATAAGAAACACACTGTTGGATCAGATCAAAGGAGCCTGCCCTTGGCCAATGAGATGCTTTTCCAAAGGCCACAAGCTGGCTTGAAGGCACTCAGCTACCCTTTCTTTTTTCTTTCTCTACATCAGTAACTGATGTAGAGAAAGAAAGTGTGATCAGGAAAGTGTGAAGGCAAGAGGAGAAGGGGACGACAGAGGATGAGATAGTTGGATAGTGTCGTCGAAGCAACCAACATGAATTTGACACAACTCCGGGAGGCTGTGGAAGACAGGAGGGCCTGGCGTGCTCTGGTCCATGGGGGGTCACGAAGAGTTGGACACGACTAAACGACAATGACATCAGTAACTGACTGCCTCTGTAAGCCTTTGTGGCTAGCAGTCACTGATAGCCCTATAAATTAATCTCTTTTTTTAGAGTGGCCATTACTGTATTTTCAGGCAGTAGATTCCACAAATTAAGGATCTGCTGCCTGCAGGAATCCCCTCACGGGTTTGTCCTGATTCTGCCGCCAGCGAATTTTACTTGCTGACCCCAAGTCCTTGACTAATTTGGAAGGGAGAAGCGTCCTCCTCTCTGGGTGAGGAGATTTGCTTCCTCTGCAGAGCTTAAGCCACATGGTTTTAGCAGGGTAATAGAGAATGGGTTCAGGAATTGTTAACTCATGGACCATCGTTGGGATCATTTTAGCAAGATCAGCAGCAGCAAAGAAGACATTATAGAAATGGGTGGGCTAAAAATATCCAGACAAATTAACCACTTTCCTTCCGATTAGGTATATTATTGGGAGGAGTACAGCCGGAATGACACCGAAAAAGTGAAGGTGCTTTTCCTACCAGAGACGAGCGTCCGCCTGAAGAACCTGACCAGCTATTCCAAATACCTGGTCTGTATCTCTGCTTTCAATGCAGCAGGAGATGGACCAAAGAGCGGCCCCAGGCAAGGCAGGACGCACCAGGCAGGTAAGGGTTAAGTCTCCCTTGGGAAAGCATCGCTAAGCATGGCAACATCTCTTGAGACTTGTAAACTTGGGCTTCCCTTTTGATGTGTGAAATTGAGAAGTGCCAGAGAATCATGTCATTGGGATTTCAGGCCAGCTGATCCCAAGTCTGAAGCCTGTGCCTAATAAATAATCAGGACATTTTGCCAAAATGTGTAGCCAGGTTCCAATTGTGTGCTTGATCCTCCAGGTTTATTTAGAACTGAAGTCCCTCCTTCCTCTTGCACCTTCCATTCACCCTACAAGCTCCGAAGGGTTGGGAAGTCCTCTGGAGCAGGGGAGTTGGGGGACTTCAAAACGTTGCAGTAGTAGAAACAGAGGAAGAAGGTTCTTATTTGTTAGTGTTGGATATCGACATACTCTGTCCGGTCTTGACCAATGTACCTCACACCCAGTTCTGGCATGGTGAAGATGTGCAACTATGGCCGTTTTTCCAGCTGCTTCCCTGTGATGCCATCAAGCCCTGGGCAAGAGTGGGCGGTTTCCAGCCTATATATGCAGTGATAAGTTTCAAGATCACACCAGCCTGTCCTACTTGATCTCTGCCCACTGGACGTCATGTCCCAGTAAGGGTTTATTCTTGCAGAGCTGATCATTCCCTCTCTGCTCTTTGAAGTTAACGCTCACGGTGCATCAGTGCCACCAAAGGCATCATCTAGCGTGCACAGCCAACTGAGCCAAGGCAATCCCAATCATTCACCACATATGGCTTCTGTTAAGGCAGAACCATCTCTACAGAGGCTCCTCTATATGCCCTTTGTAATCCAGGGGTTGGTCCTCTAGATCAGTGGTCCCCAACCTTGGCCTTCCAGATGTTCTTGGACTACAACTCCCAGAAACCTTCACCACTTCTGCTGGCCAGGATTTCTGGGAGTTGAAGTCCAAGAACGGAGGCCCAAAGTTGGGGACCACTGCTCTGGATGTTGTTGAATTGCAACTCCCATTCACCCCCACTGGGATCTGGAGGCCACAAGCTAACTGCCTGTTTTCAAGTATCCACATTTACAAGTTTAAAAAAGAGGAGTATAATTTTTAGATGAAAAGCTCTAGACTATTTCAGGGTAGTTTTGGTTAGCAAATAAAAGTATTTTTTTCCAAAGGAAACTCTGGGAAGGAATCTATCTGCAAAAGGCAATGGAGCAGAGTAGGAAGGAAACTTCTGCTGCAAGGCCACAGCTCCAGGCATGCGAGCTAACATGCTGGGAATCAATTGCATGGATTAAGGATTTATGATTCCTGTGGTCCAGGCATTCCTCCTCCTTATTTAGTGGGTTCTTACCTTTTTCAGCTCCAAGTGCCCCCAGCTTCTTGGCTTTCTCTGAAATCACTTGCTCTACCCTCAACGTGTCCTGGGGGGAGCCTACGGCAGCCAATGGTATTCTGCAGGGGTATCGAGTGATCTACGAGCCTTTGGCCCCAGTTCAAGGTAAGAGAGGATTGTTAAATCCATGCTGGGAGGAGGTCAATACAACCGTAATATGTGTTTGATTTTTCTTTATGTTTACCAATTATTCTCTCCATTTTTTTGGTATAAGAACACTCCACTAGATATAGAGACATCTCTGCAAAACCAGTTCAGTGAGGTTTACATGGGAAAAATGTGTCTTTCCTCACATTTTCCCAATGAAAAAATTGGGATGCATTCCACTTTTTCTTACAAAAGCCATTATAGACCAAACCTTGCTAAAATGTATATGTTTGCATTTAGGATTTTTTAGGTACAGAGGAAATTGATTTTTTTCTAGCTTTAGATTCAGAAGACAGATTTACTTCTCCTTATACTAAATGCCACCAGTGCCTTTTACTTTCCTTATTCACCATGGGAGTGTTTCTTAACTCTAGAAAGTGGGATATAAATCTATTAAATACAGTAAATGCATTAGATAAACTGATTCAATGTTCTTGAGAATGAGAGTTATCAAGGAGGCTGGCTTCACTCACTGACACAATCTATTAACCACATTCTTCTCTGGATATGATGATCCCAGGTTTTATTTCAGCTTCATTCATACTTTTTTCACTCTCTGGTAGCAATTTTAATCTAACCTGGCTTTAATCTTTCCCTTATTGACTGGGAGCCTAAATGGTGTGATTAATTTTTCTAGAATAATAGCAGAGGAAGAATTTATAATCTGTCTGTAAATGAATGTAAAATCATTCCAGAGGTAAATTTGAAAAAGATTAAAAGGTTTTTTGCTGGGCAAGTTATTTAATGTTTATTTTATATTTCTGGCAGATTGCCAGGGGTCCAATCAGGTCTCCAGCTTCAGCTAATTCCTACTGATTTAAACGAATGAGGGGAGCAATCAATAGTATTGTTTGGGCTCTTTTTCTCTCTCCTATTCCTATGGTGAGGAAGAAGCTGCCTTTAGCGCTTGCATTTCTATGCCTGGTGTGCTGAAAAGCTGAGTTCCTAAATGGAAGCAAGAGAACAAAAGGGCTCTGCCGTTTACTCCTGGCAAAGAGGTTCAGCATGTATCCCTAGGGCTGGGGGGAAAAAGTGTGTAATTTTAATCAGCGAACATGAGGAGAGACTGCAAGCGGTTGAGATATTTTGGGATACTTCTGCTGTGTGATCTGTCCTATGAAACCTACAAAGTATTAATCTTTTGGATTGGAGGAATGTGTGTGTGTGTGTGTGTTCAGCTATTATCAGTTGTAGTTGGAACAAGCTCTTGAGTCGGAATTGCCTTGAGGCGTCCACAGCCCACCGCATGTTTCAGGATACATACTTAGTCATCCAGAGAGGGACCTGGAGGGGATTCTGCCTCCCTCTCTGAACACCTGACACTTTGGCCCAACGGACTAGGGCTCCCATCCCCCTCCCCGCTTCAGGTTGAAGCCCCCGCTGAAAAGATGGATAAAGGTTTTAGGTGAACCCTTTTCTCCTTCTGAAGGTGAAACACAGCAGTAGCAAGATACAGTGGAATTTATCATACCTGGCATTCCACTAGGATCTTGGGCCTTAGTTATTACGCACGAAAGCAAAATGTCTTCCTTTGGGGACCTGCAAGAAAACTCCAGTGTGATTGGAAGTGGATGGCAGGCTTCTCCATACGATTGTTGATAAATCTGAAATGTGAAGAATTGCAGAGGGATTGCTGATCCTTCTGGGAGTTAACCTAGCATGATAGCTGAGCTGGGAAAAGGAGCTTCCCCTTTCAGATCTCAGCCATGAACTCATGAGGTAGCCCTAGGCAAGCCTGCTGTTCTTTCCGCCTTAGACCTATATATGTATGGCGGGATAAAAGTACAGGGATTTAAAGTATACTTAAATTCTTAGCGCTCATCAGTTTAGGTTTTCTTAAATGGAAGAGACACTTCAGTAAGGAATTTTCAAGCCCTGTAAATTCCTTGCCTCCAGGCAGAGCATGATAAAAAGGGCTGGGAGGTTTTCTCATCAAGGTCTCTGTAATATGTGTTAACTGTCTACACAGTACTGTTCTCCTTTCCTTTAGAGGAAACAAAACTACTCATATACAGCAAGCACAGAATGAATGGCTGATTGTCTTAAAAGAGGAAAGCAGCCCTTCCTGTGTGTTACTGTAAATCCTTGGAATCCATGTTTTTCAAAAAGGCGACATCATTTCAGGCAATTTGTGCTAAAGTGTTTTTTGCCAAATTTTGGGTTTTTTGTTCTTTCCTAATCTCTTTGCACGCCACCACCACTGCCCCCCCCCAGCCATCCAGCACACCACAAAACACCTTATCCTGTCAAGGGGCAACAGTCCTCGTCATCGCGTGCAAGGAGTCATTCCTTATAAAAACACTACCTCGCTTCTCACTTCTAAGGATTGCAGAGATTAACAGTACAGGCTAATATTTTAATTGGTGATAGTTCAACTTGGTGAAGGAGGAGATAATTCTGTCTGAATGCAGGTGGTGGGGCTTGCATGTGTGCTACACCCCCCCTTCCACACGTTTCCAAAATCATTCCTCAAGTAAACCAGTCCTTAAGGCCAAATAAAGCTAGAGAAATGTGTGCTGAGTTTGACTTATCTTGTTAAAAGGAGGGGAGGGAAGAGCAGAAAAAGCAGCCACAGCAAAGCAGGACTGGGACTTGCAATGCACAGAGAGGGAGAAATATCCTTTTGGGGTCTCTGTGTGCCCTACCCTGCAGAGGACAGTTCTCTGTCTGAGAGGACCCTCAGTTTGAAAGTCCAGGTCTGTGCAAAGGTAACGAATCGTGCCATCCAAGTTCAGGAGCCTTGAGGTTGCTCATCCAGAGTCATATATTTTAGACAGTAGACTGAGCAGTGACCACACAGTCCCGTTGGGTCTCACTAGGCAAGACCATCTTTGGCCTTCTTTTTTTGACTGGTCAGTTTTGCGACACTCCGTTTTGTTAATGTGTAATGTCTCAGGCAATTAGCACTGCAAGATTTACATTGCCCTGCAGGATAACATTATTAGAAGAGGAAAAAGCTTTTGTCTTAAAGTATAATCTAACCAAGATCCAGAGTTGTCTCTACTAGGGTAAGGAGAACTGTAGCACCTTTCTATTTAAATGATGGTAAATATTTCCAAATGCACAAATGCACAGTTAAACGTATAAATTAGTAGTAGATGCCAAACTGTGCCTCCTTTTGTCCATTTTTATGGACAATTTGCAATTGGTTATCTTCTTAATCCCCTCCCCATGCAGCAGCCTTCCCAACAAAGAGTATCTGTTCTTCTCAAGAGGAGCATTGCAATTGCTAGGAGGCGTCAGGCCAACTTTGTCTGCTGCAACAAAAACAACAGAGTCTTTTGACATCTTGCAAACAAGCGACTTAAACTAACTTTGCCTGGCACCCGTTTCTGTAACCCTATTTGTGACAAATGTCATGAAGTGGGTTACAGTCCATGAAAACGTCTATCAGATAAAACATATTAATCTTCAATGTGGCAGAAGACTCTTCATAATTATACCTCTAATGACCTTTAGACACCATGGGAAGAGCCCCACTGGATGGTGGGGAGAGAGGAATTGAGAAAGGGTTTTATTTAGAAGCTTGTATGCAGCACCCAGGGAGGTTTTTATTCTAAGCCTTTCTTAATGTCATTTCACCTTTCTCTGTAAGTTTCTGCTTCATGTTGGCAATGGCTCCTCATTTCCAGAGCTTCTGTGCTTTTCCTCCACAGACTTGGATCCACTATGAAGTCTTCTCTTGTCATTTCTTCCTTGGGTGTCAAGTACTTGGAAGTTGCTTTTTAAAGATTCTTGAATTTATATGAATCTCTCCTCCTCCCACTAATAATAGATGTGGAACTCACCCTAGAGCTGTTATCCACAACTCACTTAAAACAACAGTTTTGTTTGTTTAAGGATTTTCATGGTCTTCAGGTTTCTCTTTGGGAAATCAAATGACCTCCCAAGGGACAATGGATGCAATCGAACGAGATTTTCCTCCGTTGGGTCTTTTCTGCATTGATCAGCAGTCTCTGAACTAAAACAGGCATTGGAAGGAAGCCTTAAATCAAAACTGCTTTGGGAACTTTTTCTTTTAGTTCAGCCAATAAAAGCTGAGATAAATATCTTTAATATACCTTAGTAATAAACTAAAAAGATGGATGATAGCATGGCAGACAATGGAAGGGACTCCGAAAAATTTAGTCCTTTGGGTTCTAATGGAATTGCCCAGGGAGGAGATTTGAGAGGCTTTCATCTCTGTAAACACCACTTTAATTTAGGATAAGTAGAGCATGGAATGCCTTCTGACAACTCCCCCCCCCTTGCCTGCTTATAGCTTTCCTGCTATGAATAGTATTAATATGATGTCTAGCACACGCATGGTGTCTAACACACCCACTCCCAATCTGATGTCCACCAGATGTGTTGTGGTGCCACTTCTGTCATCCACAGCCAGTGTGGATAATGGCAGGCACGCCTTCTCATGTCATGTCAAAATAAAACAACATTCTGCTCAGAGGTTGGGAGTTCGATACCCCACTGCACCTCCTTGACAGGGGCTGGATTTGACAATCCACAGGGTCCCTTCCAGCTCTGCAGTTCTAAGGTTGCTGATATTATTCTGTAGATTTTCCTCTAGAGCAAAGGACATTAAACTGCAAAAGGCTTGTTTTTTCTTTGCAATTAATATCTGATCCATAGAACTGGGGTGGGGTGTGAGTGGGGTGTTGGATACTTGTTCTCCCCTCCCCACCCGTCTCCAATAGCACACTAATCAAACACTAGGTTACAGAGCAACGAGTGCCTGGTAAAGCCAGCCCTAAGCATAAAGATGAATGCAATATCTGACAGTATTACACAAGAAAGAGAAATCCATTGCTGGGCTACTGCTTATATTCCCTTTCTAAAACCCCAGGTACTTTTGTGGGTCTCACTCTGCAGAATGCCATGACCAAATGAGAAACACTGAGCAGAAAAGGGGATTGGGGAACAGAAGACCTACAGCAGAGCTGCTTCCAGATGCAGACTGCAAAATCTAAGCCCTCAGGCTTGAAATTGGAAAGACTCAGCATAGCAGGGAAGAACAGGTAGTTTCACAGAGAAGCAGAATGTTTGTCCATATCTCCTCACATGGACTGTAGGAGAGTGAAGGACACGTGCATGTATACATCTTAATACCGATTCATTAATGTTAAAGAAATATTATTGTTAACACCAATAATACTGTTGTTAAGGCAGTAATGCTTTGGAACATTCAACATACAGAAGCTTGCCTAGTACTTACCTTGGGGTTTTGTTTTTGTTTTTTCTTTTCGGAGAGAGAGAGAGAGTGTGTGTGTGTGTGTGTTATTTCTTTAAGGTCTCTCTACTGTCTCTTGTGTAGTTTGGACTCATGTCTCTTTTCAACCATCATGTCGAGAGCAACTAGCCTTAATAGCTAAAGGCTATTTAAAAACAGAATGGTTTTGAATTTTATCCACTCTTTCTTTCAATTAGTGGAAACATTTTTGCTCCCGTCTGCTCCTGGAAGGGCTTCTAGTGTGACTTATGTTAAGACTAATAACATGCAAGTGGTCCCTCCCCTGGGGCTGACCATCAGATGACCTCGGGACACCTGATGCTAACGGGAATCGCCCCACGGCTTTTTAAAAATGTGCCCATGGGAGGCTGTTCCTCCTAACGTTGAATTCCACATCTGGGGGAAAGTGATTTTTACTGAAATCTCTGCTGGGGAGGACAGGTTAAAATCTCTCTTCCAGGGCTAGAGACACAAATAAAAAAAAAGTGAGGTAGCTGCTACCTGTGACCTGGTGGAGCAAATGGCACCCACTGCCCATCACCACCCAGTGAGTCCTTCCAGTATCGCTAGGACAGCCTCCTGCTGTCATTGTACCGCCACGGCCTCCTCTCCGCTTGTTTGCTTGCTCCATCAGCATTGGGCGCTGTTCCTCTGACGGCGGCGACGGTGGCGGCCCCCTCTCCTGCTCACTCCGTGGCTGTGGGCAGCAGCTCTCCGTCCCATCTTCATCCCAGTTGCTGGCCGTCTGCCTCCCTTGCAACAGGCCAGCTGCTTTCTGCAGCTTCTGCTTCTGCTGACAAACAGGGGAAACAGCAGTGCTGAGAAGCAGCCATTGGCAGGGAGGGGAATCGGAGGCACGGTGGCAGCATGCATGGGGTGGCGAGAACTGTGAAGCAGCAGCATTCATTCCACTTCACATGACGGGACAAGCTTGGGCCACCTTGGCTTCTCTCTCTGCTTGCGGCAGAATTAGTGACTGTTCCTCCCCCAGCACCTAATATGTCATTTTTTAAACACCAACAGGCATGGCTGCTGATCATATTAGTGTTACAGGCAGTTAGAACCTCAAAGACACAACCACAAAGACACATGGCAGAAAGAGGAAAGTAAGCAATCTGGACTTAGATGGATTTAATATTATTCAAGAGCATCTGTCAGTGAAAATGCTAACAGAATTGAATTATGGCAAAGGACATTTTATTTCTTCACCAGGAAATTCAAGCAAGGATAGCCGTCTCCCCGAGAAGAGCTGTCTCTACGTCCTTTTTTCCCCACCTGTCTGGTGTCCATTCACCTTCTTCGCGCTCACAGTTTTCAAGAAGTTAATCTAATCCAAAATGTTGAAAGATTTGCACTCGTGTTGTTTTGCCATAAATGGACGAGACATTGGTCAATAGAGAGATGTAGCTCAGTGGGTTTTTTCCCCCCAGGAGCGATCTGACAGAATGACAAGCACCAAAGCACCTTGAGGGAGACGGGTTGGGTGGAAGGAGGAAAAGCTACAGGATGCAAACCCACCACCCCCACCCCCTGGTTCCCTTACTATTCACCTCCATCCCGGTGCAATTAGAAAGGTCGTCTTCAGCCTCTTGGTAATTTCCCAGTAGTGCTGTACGGTTCCTTCCCCACCCCAGCCCCCGCTGTCAGTACCCACTTATCAAGCTTAAAGTCTAATTACACTTATCTGTGCTGAAAACTGGCCATTATCACCGTTTAAATTCCCACTAATTGTAAGAAATACTTCCTTAGCAAACTGCTTGATAATTTTACTGGTAATGTCGACTGGATGAGTTCTGCTGCTCTGCTGCTTGCTTGCTTTCTGAAATATTAACATGGTCTCTTATTTGTCATCTGGCCGGTCCTGTTCCAGGGGTGAGCAAAGTGGTGACCGTGGACATCAAGGGGAATTGGCAGCGCTGGCTAAAGGTCAGAGACCTCACCAAGGGAATGACTTACTTGTTCCGAGTACAGGCCAAGACCATCACCTACGGACCTGAACTGCAAGCCAATATCACGGCTGGGCCAGCAGAGGGTAAGGGGAAGGCAGCGGGCATGCCAAAATGTGGACCCAACTGCATTAACTCAAGATCCAGTGGGAGAGGGAGAGAGAGAAACTCGCCATGCATTTTCTAGCCAAGAGAGAATTAAGTCATGAAGCGTGATTTATGGGCATTCCTAACAGCCAGTGACAGTTGCCAGATCTCTCTGCATATGAGGCTTAGGGCCATGGCTGCATGTTCTACAAACCTATATAGATCAATCTTCTAAAATAACCCACCAACCCTTCACAAAAATCACTGCTAGGTGTTATGATCCTATGGGAGGAAATCCACCTGCCAAAGTTAAGTAATGTCTTTATTTGACACATTGGTTGGGCATATGACTTGTAATCTTTGGCTTTTCCCCACCTTATTAAAAACACACACAAAATACACTGAATTTCACATCTGGTATAAACAGGACTGGTATTGCATTAATTCGGCATTACTATGTGTGTGTGTATGTTGGTTTTTTTAAATCCAGAATTTATTTTCATTTTGCTAGTTGTGGGGATGGACAGACCAGACCAGCCCTATTTGTTGCAGTACATGGCGGGGGCTCTTTCTGGTATATTTTTGTTTAAAAAAGGGGGGGGGAGAACCTCATGTTTTTCAAAAAAAAAAAACAACCTGTGATTTGTAGCAACTCTATTTTACCCAATACCATATTTGGCACATTTATGAAATTGCAACAATCATCCAGCCCCGTTTATGAAATCTATAATATAGACAGGCAAACAGCTCTGTTTCAGGCAGTAGATCCAGCCTTAACAATTGATAACTACCTGGCAAATTATCCTCCTTTTAGTTGTTTCGTTGTTGTTGTTTTTAAAAAAAACGATACCCGAAGACATCAATCAAGGACCTATTTTCTCTAGGGGTGGCATGAGTGAAACGTGACAAGAGCCTGTTTTTGAGTGCCTTCCAAATTGTTCACAGGCAGTTTCTTGACTGTGGTTCTCCATGGTGCTTGGTGTGGGTTGTCTCTGCATGGGAGATGGGGGGGGGGTTAGCAGCCAGACACCTGTTTGCAATGCAAACAGACCAAAGCTGAGTCTCCCATCCAGGATAGCCGTGATTAGTTGAGACTTCTGCTTAGGGACCTCAGGAAACAGTGCCAGTCACAGCTGAAGCAGTTAAGATCTCTTGTGCTTTTAATTGTCCTTTCAAATGCTGATTGGAAACAATATTAGTTTTCAGATGGGTAGGAGGGTGGTTCTTCTCCTATGCCACTAACCCACAGACAATCCCTTGCTAAAGGTGTAATTTGAGCATGTGAATCTTACCTTCCCATGACATCACTGTCCCAACTGAGATTTCTTCACTTGGGGCTCATATTTTAAAAAGAAGCAGAAATGAACACTGAGATGTTTACATCAAAGACATAAATCCTTGCTTGACTTGTTTTTCTAAAGATAAATGAAAATATGCATGATTTTCTTCCCTGCCAGCAAGATGGCACCATTTTTGTCAATTTCACAAAAAGGGTTCTCACATTCCCAGTGTTGTGTATGTTTCTGCAAATTCCTCAGATACATAGCTAAATTGCAATTAACTAATGGCTTGTTTTGAAAACTGGAAGCACTGAATGGCTTGCTTGCATCTTTTTTGATCAATCCACAATGGGAAAAGATGCTCGTTTTATGCAGAGATATTTTGCACATATTTTAGAATGGATGGGAAAATGTGCTGACTCTAACACTTGGATGCAAGACATCTTAAATGGGGGCAAGCCATTTCTTTCCAGAGTATTTTGGTATGTGCAACTTCACAAAATGTTGTCTTGTTCCTAATTTAACATTATGTCTAGTTCAGTCCTAAGAATAGTTTGGACAACTATTGATCAATATACTAAGTACCCTTGGCCAACCTCCTTATGTTGGGAATTGGAGCCATCTACGATCCTGCCAGAAAATAAGAGCAGAGAGAGCATAGATCTTGACACCAGCCCTGTAAAATGCATCTGCTGCCTGCCGTGACAGCAGAGCTGTCTCAAGGAAGAAAATCCATTTCGTATTCCTGATTGCATGCTTCAGCGCTAGATTGGAAGTAGGATGAGGCTGGGCTGGGCTGGGCTGGGGTGGGGGGGGGGGGAGCAGTCTGAAGGTTCACTTGGTAGTTTTTCTAAAGTAGCCTTTGAAGGAGAACAGGCACCTTTGGTGGGCTGCATTTTGTGTGTCTTAATCTGTAGGCAGTAGAGAAACTGAGGGGTGGTGACTCGCTTTTCAAAGGATGCAGCCTTTTGCCAAGGGCTTGCTGATTTTGGCTTTCTCCCCTCTCAAGTAATTAGAGAGCATTGCATGAATAATGGTGTCTTCCACGTTGCCTCACCTTTGCTCTTCCTGTTTCACTTCCACAGGATCTCCTGGTTCCCCTCAGCATGTTCTCGTTTCAAAAACAGCCTCCGGACTTACTTTGTACTGGACTGAGGGACTCTCGGGAGACAAGCCCACCACCGGCTACATCATAGAAACCAGACCTTCAGGTAGGTCATAGCCTCTGAAAAACAGAAAAGGGAAATCAACTGACCCAGAAAATGTAGCAGTGGGGTCAACAGAACAAAGACAAGAAATAGAGAAATTTCTCAGGGGGAAGGGGAGAGCTTCATCTTATTTCCAAGCATTCAAAAAAAGAGTGTGTGTTGGGGGAAAAGCAGCTAGATGCTTTCTCTCTCCCCCCCCCGCCCCAATTCTTTGTCAGTTCCCAGCCTCACCAAGCTGCCAGAATGAGCATTACCGTGGCTTGTCTTCTTTCCTGGATTATATTCATCTTACTGGACTTGATTGGACTCGATAAAGTAAGGGTCAAAAAAAGAGGGAGGGGGAGAGAGAATTAATAGTGTGGATTCATGGCGATGTTGAGAGAGTATGTTTGCATGTGAGCCAGAGGAAATAGTGAATCCTTCCTCCCTGTCGCCTACATGAACTTAAGCCAAAAGGTGGTCCCAGATTGGTTTATGGAGAACAAGACAGAAGGGCTAAAAGCCCACATGTTCAGGACTGTTCACTAAACCTTCCCTAAGGCTGATGCAGTGTTAACTGCTACATGCAGCTTCTCATACAGTGCACATATATTCGCTCATATATCAACTATCTCACGAGTAGCGTTACAGCTACTGGCTCCTGTGACTGATGGCATGGATTTCTTAAAATGAAGAGATGACACACATGAAAACTAGATGGTACCTTTATCATGTTATGCAGATGTGCTCCTCCAAATTGTGAAAAGAATCTATCTCTGCTTTGACATCTGCAGCGATTTTCTTCACCTACATATCTTGAATTTAACAAGGTTACTGGAAGTTAAAATCTCAGGCTAATTTGCAGGTTTGCTTGCCTTAAGGTGCATATCTGAAGAAATTCCATTGTGGAAGCCAGGTCAGTCCTAGGGAATTACGCATTCTCCCTAATGCTGAGTTTGACTCTGACATAGCTTAGTACTGTTTGTTCACTTCTACATCCTAGCTCACACCCGTGAGCCACAGGTTATAGCCTGCACTGTCTGGATGAACCTATCTTTCACCTACCCTTTTCTTGAAGCAGCCCCTGTTTCCTCAGAGGGAAGGAGGAAGATGGCGGTGCAAGCATTTGCTTGGCACTTCAGAGATTGGTATCTTTTAATTAATATTTTGATTGTGTACTCGTTATTATGGACTCTGCATGCCCAGGCACAAGTAATTTACAGATGACAAGAATTATTAACTATTGGCAGAGAAAGCTGCAACTTTGAACCAAGGGTTTCAGCTTAACAGTATTCTAGCTGAGCTGTTTAGACTGCCTGCATATCCGAGGGTTACTCCCCCTGCTCTCCCTGTCAGGAAGAAAAGCACACACAAAAAAAAAACCAAGCAGAAAAGAGGTTGCAGGGCTGGATTACGAGTGAGGCTAGGCAGAAATTCTCACAGGCCTGCATTGCCAAGTCTTTGTGTTTCAAATGTTAGATCTCTACCCAATAAGATTGAGGAGTTGGAACTTACTATCTCCCTGCAGAAAAATATTCGGGATTGTTGTGTTATGATCTTTATAGAAATGTGGCTTGACTCCTCTATCCCAGGGGAGGTAATGGAACTACAAGGACACAGAGTACATCGAGCAGACAGGACTATTGAATCTGGGAAGAGCAGAGGTGGAGGGGTTTGTGTTTACACAAACAATAACTAGAGCACGGATGTTAAAATATTGGATATTCACTGTTCTCCTGATTTGGAGTATTTGGCAGTGAAATGCCGCCCCTTTTACCTGCCTCATGAGTTTAATGTTGTTACAATAACTGCAATATATATACCTCCTGATACTATCATAACCACAGCTATGAGTTGTTTGTTAGCTGCTATCAGCAAACAGCAGCAGGCCTACCCAGATGGAGTGCTGGTGGTAGCAGGTGATTTCAATCAAGCCAGTTAAAAGACTGTCCTCCCTAAGTTTTATCAGTACGTAGACTGTCCCACTAGAAGGAAAAATTCCTTGGATCGGGTCTATAGTAACATCATGCATGGATATAAGACAAAGCCATTGCCTAGTTTGGGACAGTCAGATCATATATCTCTGTTTTTGATTCCATCATACAGACCTCTTGTTAACAGAACCAGACCATCAACTAGAGAAATACGAGTGTGGCCAGTGGGTGCATCTGAGCAATTTCAAGATTGCTTTAGGAGCACTGAATGGGCACTGCTTGAGGAGGACAGTGTAGATACTTATACCCCGACAGTACTGTTTTATATCAAAAGCTGTATCAATGTTGCGACTACCACCAGACAAGTACGAGTGTATTCTAATAACAAGCCTTGGCTAAATAGAGAAGTGTGCTTTTTACTAAAAGCCAGAAATTCTGCTTTTCATTCTGGTGATGTGCTACAGTATAGAGAGGCCGGAGCTAAATTGAAAATGGGTATTAGGAATGCCAAAGCTATGTACAGTCGGAGGATTGAGCAACATCTTGAGAGTTCTGACACTCGTTGGGTATGGCATGGTCTGCGACAAATCATGGGGCAGAGTAACAAAAACAGTCTGTTTAGCGGCAGTAATTTTTTGGCTGAGCAGTTAAATCAATTTTTCAGCCGTTTTGAGGTGGAAACAGGAACTATTATTCCAGCACCTACTATCTGTAGTAAGTACATCACTAGAATCTACCATCAACAGCCAGCCACTACTACTGCAGATTTCAGATGTGAGATGCGCTTTCCAGAATATTAACATTCGAAAGGCAGCTGGACCAGATGGAATCATGGGACGAGTTGTTAGGGGCTGTGCTGCAGAATTAGCTGGAGTTTTTACTGCTATTTTCAATCTATCCTTGTTGCAGTGTTCTGTCCCCACTTGCCTGGAGACATCTATGATAGTGCCAGTCCCCAAGCAGTCAGCTGTGGTATCTCTCAATGATTATCGACCAGTAGCTTTAACATCTGTTGTTATGAAATGTTTTGAGAGATTGGTGCTGGATTACATTAAGGCTAGTCTTCCACCTTCTTTGGACCCATGGCAATTTTCATACAGGAGAAATAGATCTACTGATGATGTCCATTGTTCTCCATATTTAGTGAGTCACTTAGAACAACAGGGAACTTATGCGAGGCTGTTTGTGGATTATAGCTCTGCTTTCAATACCATTCTACCCAATAGGTTGTTTTTTAAAATGATCAACCTGGGATTACCTCAGAAGATTTGTGTGTGGGTAAAGGACTTTCTGACAGATAAGCCACAGTCAGTAAGGATGGGAAGGTACTAAGGACAGAAACTCCCCAGGGCTGTGTGCTAAGTCCCTTCCTCTATTCCCTGTACACACATGATTGCACCCCACTGCATAACACCAACACAATTATTAAATTTGTGGACGATACGACAGTGGTGGGGCTCATAAATAAGAACAATGAGTCTACTTATAGAAATGAAGTACAAGGGTTGATAATGTGGTGTAAAGAAAATAATCTTACACTTAACATCAAAAAAACTAAAGAACTCATAATTGATTTTAGGAGGAAGAGAAATGTACATTTACCACTGTACATAAATGGCGAGGAAGTGGAGAGGGTTGGTAGTTTTAAATTTCTGGGCACTTACATCTCAGAGGACCTCTCATGGACTATAAATGCCAACATGCTAGTGAAGAAGGCACAGAAGAGGCTGTTTTTCCTGAGAATGCTCGGCAAGTTAAATTTATCTCAGCATTTACTTCTGTCCTACTATCGTAGCACCATTGAGAGTGTCCTAACCTATGGCATTCTTGTATGGTTTGGGAGCAGCTCTGTAGTGGACAAAAAAGCTCTACAGAAGCTTTGTACATGTGGGTCTGGTCTCTGGGTGTATTTCGTTGTATGTATATACAGTACTTACAATGACAATATATTTATTTGATTTATTTCAAATACTCTTCCGATCATCAGGGAAGAATGGGGACAAGCACGGGAAAGGATCAAAGTTGAGTCTCTGTATAAGACCTACTGGTCCAAGACTCCTTGTTTCCTGTAGCCTGGCATGACTGGAGCAGAAGATTCAATTTTTGGTCCTTGCTCTTTCTTTGGGCCTAACTAGAGATAGACATGAGTTTCTAAAGTTTTGTTTATGGAAAGAAGACACTAATCATGAAGTGCACCTCACTTGTTTGAATCCCTAGCAGACCTATTTTTCATCTCTCTGCCCCCCGGGTATCACTAAAACTCCCTGTTAACTGCCATGGATTGAGCCTTCTGCAGTGTATTGAGTGTTTCCCCTGTTTCTTAACTCATTTAGTCAAATGAGCTCCTAAGGCTACAAGTTCCCACTACTGCTGAGGACAGAAGTTTTTCCATTCCAGTGCTCATCTTTGTTACTCCATTACCTTACTCTAATTTCCTCAGTGCAGCTCTGATAACAATTTTCACAACAAAGCTAATGAAATGTGCTTATCTTTCAAGGATCACTGTCTCCCAAGTGTGGTGGGAAGGACCATTATTGCTTCTAACCAACTTTTCCGTCCATTAATTATGTGAATGGAAAAAAAAAGATTATCATTGGGGCATCAATCAACAAATTAAGGAAAGCTAGATTTTAAACACACACACACACACATTTACATGCACACATGTGGGTACTGTGCTCTACAGCTAAAATTTGTGCAGGACAGCCTAGTGGAATGTGCCCCTTGTTGAGTAATATATGTGAGATTTGTACTGCTTTTGCTGACTGTGGCTATAGCAGTGCCTTCTTAAAGTCATTTGTGAATGGGAAGGTCATGCAGGTATGGACATATCTGGAACTTTTTTTCCTATTTCAGGCAGGGATTCAGGCAATCGAAGTGTTAAGTGAGGCTATAGATGTATCATGCTTTTTTACAGACAGGCTCCCAAAGACATGAGAGATGCCTGTCACAGCATATGACTGTTGTCATCCATGTACATGCTTTGTTTTCTGATTGTTATTACAAGGTAGACCTGCACTTAATGTGCGAGGCCAACCACTCTGACAGGTATCCGAGGGAATCCTGTTGTGGGAGGGGAAATGAGTTAATCCATGGGAATACTTACCGCCCCCTAATGTCCAGTTCAACCCTGAGATCCAGCTGCCTCCTTTGGCTCTTCGGCACTGGGTCCATTGTTCAGGCCCTTCCCATAACACTCGGCAGTCAGTGATCCTTGGAAGATAAACCCATCTCCCAGGCCATGACCACGGGCGGCTCGTCAGGATGCTGTCCAGAGGGTTCTTCTGAGAGCCTCTGGGCTGTGTGAGCACATCTTGGCCAGTTTCCACTGCATCTGCAAAGCATCGTGAGGTTTGGGGCAAGAGAGAAAGGGAGAGGGAGACCTCTTGCCACTTCTGCTCCCAGGCTCTAAAAAAAAATGAGTTCTTTAATTTTTGCACAGATTATTTTAATCCTATTCATGCCATCATAATAAAACATTTGTGTGCTAGGACTCTTCTTCTTCATTGGAGCAGAATCTGCAGAGAGCATGAAATGTGATCCAGGGAAGAGAGTAATTGGAATGCTGGCTTATTTCATGCACGCTTCAGCTTCATTAAAACACTGTGTATCTTGCTCAGTTTTATTGCTCCGGCATTTTGGAGAGCGTTGCTCTCTGGATGTTGCCAGGGAGCATGAGAGTGGTGTTCTCCTGACTCACTGTTTCCATCTACGGATGGAGATGATGCAACTGCCTTTTCCTGCTGGACAGTGATATGCTGCTGTGACTGCCGTGTTGCTGACCTTTTGAAGAGTGAGTGGTTGACCCCAGCAGCTGACTTCATGTCCACTTCTAATGGAGGGCAAGGGGAGATCACCATGTCTCCGTAGCCCCAACTGAGGTATCTTAACAAGCAAATGAAAAGTGTTACCACTTTGGCAATATTAAAACAACTTACAATTACCTTAGGGTTTTGCATCTCAGCTGTCATCTGTTACAGGCCTCATTAACCTAGATGTTAGAGGCAGTGTTTTCTCTTTCCACCCTCTCCTCTGCTGCTGTAGCTCTTAGCCAGGGAACTTAAAAAATGCCACCATAAACCACCTTTTGGTCACTACCTACCTTCCTTCGGCTGCAGTTGTTCCGTGCACGTCTCAGATTCAGAGGGGTTCTTCTGTTTACCATTTTAAAATACCTTCCAGCTATGCCCGTTTGTTTATTGAGAGACTCCAGCTGGGCCACGATATTTTTTAAAAGAGATAAAATAGTCGGATTAATAGATTTAAAACAAAATTAAGTGTCAATGCCTCCCTCAGCCTGACTTCCTGCTACCAACTGCCTGCAGCACAAACAAGAAAGCCTTATGATCGGGATCAGCAACCGGGCTCCCCAAAGTCAAAGCCCACCCCCTGAGGAACGCCAGTTGCCTCTGTCACAGTTTGCTAATTCTGTTCAAAGAACCAAAATGTAAAGTATCGGAACAAGAACCAGCTATTTCTCATGAAGCAGCCAGCATTCCCTCCAGTTGCCAACCTAGAAGGAAAAGTGGCCGGGTGAATAGGATGGAAAGACATTGGTTCTGTTGCTTGAGTGGAAATATGGAACTGGACACTGGCCGGTAGTTTTCAGTGAATCGGCTTATCCTTTTGGCCAACTCGTACGTTGCATGCAGAGCATCCCAGGATCAAGTCCTTGCACCTCGAATTAGAGCTGAAAAACACTCCTGCCTGGAAAACCTTTGACACCATAGTAGTTGGTATTGAACTTTAAGTGAGCTAGAGAAATATAAAAAATATAAGCAGCCAGCTGGCTCAGTGAGAAAGCTGTAGTCTCGCCCATCATAACAAGCTTTTAGAAGACTCCTGGGATGATGTGTTCCATGTAGAAATTAGTGGTAATTATAATGATGGAATACAGCAGGCTAATTAGGTGAGCCTATGCCTATGAATTTGGAGAAACGACTCAGGATGCTCATGGTAAAACAAAAGGAAAGAACTTGTGTTTATGATTCCAATAAATCCATTAGGATAAAACGTAGACTTGAGCATGAGGCTGATGCAACTGGCTTCTTGGTGTACAGGAGTGCTGAAGGCCAGCAGAAAGGCACCCTAACAGCTGGCTTTCAAAACTTGAAGACTGAAGAGAACACAAGAATAAAATTATTTCTTTAAAGATGGGGGGGGGGAGAGAAATGGCCTAACTAAGTAGAGGTCAGGGATCATAGATTTCAACATAGGCAAGATGCCCAAGCTCACCTGGCTACATGTGGGTCCGTAAGTACAAGATTGTTGCCCTTCTTCTAACACTCCTTCTCAGCAATGCAATGCTTGCATAAAAGGCCACAGGATTCATCTTGGGTCTCTGGAAAAGTGGTCTTGTGAGGACATCTGCAGTCACGTATCTTGGTGGTTAGTACTCCATGTGGATAAGACTCTTCCTCTCACTTGCCTCTCAAGAATGGATGCCCTCATATCAGTTGTGCTTGGTGCAGCACCTCCAAATTCACTTGAATCAGGGAAGAAAATATTCTTGACATTCCCTAACATCCCAACGAGGATCAAAATGTACAAGTCCTTCCAGTATCCTGAACTTTACTTTCCAAAACCGATCAGTAAAGCTGTGGCCTGAGGGCAAAAGCATGGCAAGTAACAATTTAGACATTTTCCCCAAAATGCCGGTTTATTTATTTATTTATTTTAAGGGAGGGGAATCCTATTTTTCCATTCAACAGATTGCCTCGCAGACTTGCAAGGAGCAATGGCAACTCTTCTGCTGTCTTGGGTCGCCTTTTTATCACTTCTCCGTGTTCCATCTTGAACGCAGAAAGAAACCGGTGAAAGTCGGTCAATCCAAAGTGAAGTCCGGAGCTGCTCAGCCAGCGCTCGCCGTGGGGGCTTTGTTCTGTCCTCTGAATGTTAGGCAGCACCGACAGTTTGTCAGGCTTCACTTTGCATTGCCTTCATTGTTCTTTTGTTAGTCTCTGCCGCAACCTCAACCTTTTCTCCTTAAAAATAAATTAACATTTTAATTTGGTTCTTGTTGGGGCCCCGCTTGGGAAAAGCCTCTGAATGCTTCACCGCCTGTGTTGACTGGCATGTGATTAGGGCAAAGTTTTATAGCATAAACTCTCCCCTCCGCCTCCAGCTGTACAGGGCAGAGAACTGCCGGTGGTGGTGGCTCGGAGAAGTAGACGTGGCAGGTTTCCATCCAGCTCCGGCAGCAGGCGTTTGTTAGTGGCCTTGGCACCAGCAGGTCTAGAAAGCCTCTGCCGGTTGACTGACAGTTTGATGCAGCCCAGCGCACCTGATTAATTGTCCGTGAAATCGCACTCTTGTGTTGGTGCAGCGTCTGTTCTAACACCTGCAGCTCACAGTGCTGTTCAGTCCCTCGGAAGGATAAAATGTGAACGCAAATCAGGAGTACTTTGGAGCCTCAAGAGAAATGATGCCAGGTAGGAGCCATTATATTCTTCTCTGGCAATGCGTGTGCGCACTCCAGAATTTGATGAAAAGCTCTGAGCAGTTAAACAGAGATGTAACTTTCCAGCCCCCACCCACCCAGCTTTGTCCTTAGAGGCAATAAGAATGAGGCTAAGAGGCAGTGAGGCATTTATAACAACAGGATGCTCTCGCTCGCCCCCCCCCACTCCCCAAAGGAATAATTTCCCATTTAGGGGGATTCCCCCCCCCTTCTGTAAATGTATGTGCCCAATCAAGGCAGTAGGGATGGAAGAGAATGGACAGATGTTTCTGAAGCAAAAAGCAATTGCGATCAATCCTCTTGTAACCCTGGAGCCAGCTGGGCTGCATCTCACAGTACATTAACCAAGAATTGATGGGGAGTAACTCTGCTCTTTAGGGTTGTGGGATTTAGCGTGGCAAACTTTCGCCCCTTGCATTAATAATAATCCATATATTTATTAGTAGTAGTAACAGTAGTACATAAATGCTCCCCTCCCCCATCAAGAAACAAGAAGCAGCAGCATTCATCATCCTCCACAAAGGAATCTCAGTGGAATGCAAAAAGCAGCCTCTCTCTCTCAGTCTGGATCCTGTTAATGAAATTCCCTTTTCCAGATGCATGTTCTGGCATTTTTGAACAAACATTTTGGAGGAAAGGAAATTGTCGTAATAGTTTTCAATTATGAAAAGTAATACTGCATTATAATATGAGTGTTCTCCATTGATACGAGAGGAAAAAAGAGTTGGACTACCTGTCTTTGAAATCATCAAAATTAAGGGTAATTAGGCACATATCCCAGATGCGTAGGTTGTCCATGCAAGTTAGAGGAGAAGAGGTGCCCTAAAACATCACTGTAGTAGAAAGAATAGGAACCTATGGGCAAGATGGTCCACAGTAGTCTGGTGGTAGAGATAGTCTAGCATTTTATTTGATATGCATCTGAAAGCGAACTAATGTGTTTTGTACACCCCAGGCTAATTTGTAGGCTTGGAACTAAGGTTACCAGGCCAGCAGCCCCATTTTTTACAGCACACAAGATCATAGGGGGAAAGCCATTTCTAAACTGAACATGTCTAAATAGTGTGTTCTGAATCCAAAACAATGTAGCCTGCAACCCCAGGCTGCCAGGTCAGCAGCATCCCATTCCATGAACTTGCAGTTCGAAGTCTGAGATGCAGAGAAGAGACCCAAAACGCTGAGTCTCACAGTCAAAACCTGAGAATTGGCAACTCTTTCTCAATCCACACCTTTGCATTTTATGATATAAATTTCAGATTTTAAAATGCACTAAAAAGGGCATGAAATATGCATTGTACCATAAAATGTGTGCAGAAATTTTCATATGGATTATAGGCAATGCAGAAAGAAATGGGACAGAACAAATTTATGTATAAACACATGCAAAACGGACATAAACCCTTATCCATCTGCCCCTATTTCACAGCCTAGGTAAGTCTGATGATTTAATATAAAAGGAAAAGAAGTCATAACTAACTCAGTGGAGCATGTATTTTCTATGTGCACAAAGACCTGTGATTCAGCAAAAGTGTTCTGCTTATACACCACCCCATAGCACTTAAAGTACACTCTGGGTAGTTTACAAGTTAATTATGTACATTCCCCCGCCCCCGCCCCCCCGTACCCTGGATATTCATTTTACTCCTAAAGATGGAAGGCTGAGTCAACCTTGAACTGGCTACCTAGGATTGAATCCCAGGTCACCAGCAGAGTTTTGGTTGCAGTCCAGCATTTAACCATTGTGCCACGAGACTCCTGTGACATTTTGACCTCAGGGGGCTTAGCTGATAGGAAAGGACTCTACCTGAAACCCTGGAGAGATGCTCCTTCTCCTCAAAGTAGAGCTAAGGGAGCTAGATGGAGCAAGGTTCTCTGGCTCAGTTTACAGAAGCATCCTGGGTGTATGTATAACCTCCTAAGGACTGGACCTGAATCATACAGGAGGGGACCTGAACAAGTTTACACCACTCCTCTGGCAGTCTTAAATTGTTTCCAGAGAGATCTGAAGAGAATAGACGCTTTGGGTCAAGAGGGAGGCCAGCTGCAAGTAGAATTGAGAGATTTCCCCAGATAACTGAATTATTTTCCTTACTGCAGACAAGTGACTGTTGCTAACTATGGGAAAGGGCCCTAGTTTTGCACTACTGCTGATTCCCACATGCTTTAGTAATAGGGTCTGCCAGTAGAATTTTGTCTTTGCAGGAGAGGGGACCACAGTGCTCACACAGGAAGCTACCACACAGACAGGCCCTAAATTGAAATTCTCCTCAGTATTTACTAACTCAGACAGTCCCATCTATTACAAGGACGCTGTACCAAATAAAATGAAGCTTTTATTTGTTTTTACGTACTCCAGGCTAGCTTCTGTATTGCTGTATATCTACACTCTGTCTCTTTTGAGTAAATAAAACTCTAGGTCTTCCTTATTACATTGTAAAATTATTGTTTATAAGACAGTCATTTATTTCACACTTTATATTCTTTACAGAAATATATGTATCCTGAAACATAAATGGTAGCATTTCACTGAATCATTATCCATTCAGGCAAATAATGCTCTGCATTTCTCACTGGAAAAATTACCTGCTTCTTAATCATCTTGCATTCCTAAAATACAACTGACGTGGTAACATTCTGTCCACCAAAGATCTGGCAATCACCTTGATAAGCAAACAAGCACTGGGGAACCTGTCAGTCACTGTCAGAAAGCCCACAGATCCTAATAAATTCCTCTCCTGAAATACATTGGCAACATAACTTAACCTGGGTCAAGGAGCCAGAAAGTCTTTCCAGATCACCCTTGTACCAAATGTAAGCCCTTATTTCAAGGGGTCATCAAGCAGGTATTCTTCTGCTGCCAGCAAGGGATGAGGGAACAGAGCAAGTGTTTTAGTCCAAACAGAGAGAAATGTTGCAACGTGTTTCAAGGACATATGGTCCTGTTTTGAGCTATGAGTCCTGCCAAAGTGATGGAAACTCTGGCCCCTCCCTTCGTTCACACAGCAGAGGCCCTGCTCATCCCGACAATGCATTGCTCAAGGGTATTGGTTTGCGATCTGCCTATGAGATCAGGCCTGTTTGCCCATCTGTTCCACTCTTGTCTATTTCTTAACTGTTTGTGGCTATCCAGGGGTTTTAGCAGAACCAGGTCTTTTCCATCATTTGATGACTAAACCTCCAAAGCACAACCAGAGAGGGTGAGGGTTGAACAGGCAGAACTTGAGCAGCCCTCTGCAATCCATTCTGGGGACAAGCATGGAGGAAGGTGCCTTATGCCTGTTTAGACGATCTAGTCATGTGCAATTTTGGCTATCTGGACTGGCAGAGGGAAGTATTTCAAAAATGGGATTCCTAGTGTTGCCCACTGGGCATTATTAATCTCCATTAATATTACGGTGGTAAATTTCAGCTCAGCAGTTGGCATGCATGTGTGAAGGATCAAGAATGTTTGTTGAACCCTTTCCCTTTTCTTTTTCCCCCTGCCTCGAGTTTGAAGGACTGTGGGACTTGTTCGTGAAGGATATTCCTCGCAGTGCCACTTCTTACACAGTCAGCCTGGACAAGCTGAGACAGGGAGTGAGCTACGAGTTCAGGGTAGTAGCCGTGAATGAGTTTGGATACGGAGAGCCCAGCAGTCCCTCGGTGGCAGTCTCAGGTTGGTAAACTTGCATGGAAGTGCTTATCGGGAGACAAAATGTTTACTTGTGAGTTTACACCATGTATGATCTTTAACTGGTTACTGCTTTTTTAACCTAAGGAGGCTGCAAGACATATTACGATGGGATATATAACTTTATGTATTTGCGTATTGACAGCTAGGCCATGTCACTGTCTATAGAGGCATGTTCTCTCCTCACATTCATGCACCTTTAAAGGGTTGATTCATGGGCCTCTCTTCTCCACGGCCTGCTGTCGGTTTTCCCTTGCCCACTGCTATGGTAGTTGGACTTCGATGAGAAAACATGGCCGTCAGGATGTTCTCACCCAGATGAATTGTGAAAAGGGTCAGCACTGTTCTTGATGCCTGTCCCAGATTCTGACTATCTTTTCCCTCCCCAACCATGGGATTTATACCTTTCTAGCCTCTTACATCAATGCATCCAGTGCTTTGGGCAGCATTTGGTTTTTCCACCTCTCCTTTGCTTTTGTCTTGAGGCTTGTGGCCATTGTTTTTCCCAACATGGATAAGGCGCACATTCCTTAGTTAATTTCCTAGCTACTTCTTCATACACATCCTATCTGGGTTAGATCAGAAGGATCATAATTCAGAATACAGCACTTGCTCTGAATGCAGAAGTTCCCAGACTTGTTCTCATGAATCTCCAGGATGCCTTCCAAAGCCCTGAAGATCCACTGATTATTAGGATAGACATATCTGAACTAATTACACTAACAGTATAGAACACTCCTTTATACTCTTTTTTATGGACAGACCGTATCGCGTCCCATTCACATGAGACGTGTGATTCACAGCAAACAGTTTCACAGATGTTTCAGCTGATGGGCCATAGCTTAATGGCAGAACATATACCCTGCAGGATAGTTACAGATTCAGTCTTGGCCTCTCAAGGTTGGATTGAGAAGCACCTAAGTTCTGAGCTTCTGGAGAGCCCTACCTATTAGCAATTGTGTAGAAAACATTCTGTTGGTAAGGAATCTCTATTCTGGCTCATTACAAAGCAGCTTCTGATATTCCAAGCACCTGTGTGTTCAGACAGTAGACCTCAGCATTGTAGTGAACTTCCTTTTCCTGGCATCTCTCTACCTCCTGCAGAATATTTGAGAAAATGCTCCCCTAATTCCAGATTGTAACTGAAAAGCCAGGGCTGGTTATTCCAAAAAACGGGCAAAGCAAAATGTGGTTTCTTAAACTTTAGTATGAGACTCATAAATTACAGTGATTCAAACCTTGCTCTGCGCTTGCTGAAAGTCTTCACTTTGATTTGCTTCGGGGAGCAATTTCTCAGATCACTTTTGCAGTTTCAGCAAAAGGGGGAGCTAGAAAAATTAATTATTTTTTTTAAGTCTTCATAGTTCAAAAGTGTGATACCTGAGGGGGGAACTCAAACTATTCTGTGGGCCCAATACTGTTCTCTGTGTTTTTTTTTTTAATAATTCTCCTTTTTTGCTTCTGGTGTGAGCCAGTCAAGCAGAATTTATCAGAAGTATAATCGAAAGTGGAAATAAAATGCAATAATCACCACTATTGTCTTCATTGCTGACTCTGTCTCTGCACGGCTAAACGTCTGACCCCTAAGAATTGAGGGCAGCTCAAATCCCAGAGCCCGGCTCTTTCCCTACCTCCCCCAGAAGGAAAGTAAGGGCTTCAATGCCGGGAGACCAGTTTCTTTGGGTTCCACCAGTTCAAGCCTTTTGCAAAAGGACACGTTAGCAGCAGCTGCTGCCAACAGCCTCCGTGGTTCTTGGAGTGGCATATGTTGCCTCACAGGTATATGTGCAACTCCTTGTAAATAAATCGCTTGTTTGTGTGTTCTCCACTTGATCAGAAACATTTAATCCATTTCCTGGTGATGCTCTAATGCATACTTTGGATTGGCCAGAAAAAAGAAAGACATTTTCTGTGGGGAGCTACAGGAATAAAAAATTCAAAGCACTGCAGGCTCCTGTCACTCAAGCTGATGATCTGTGGCCTGTGTGTCTCTGTAATTAATTAAACCAAATCTCAGTGTTGCCCATAGTTTCTATTGCTACCACTGAGCTTAGCTGCTTCTCTTTTGATGATGTTTTACTTCTTGTCCAATTCCCTGCAGATATAAATAATCTCTTTCAGGGACTTCAGACATTATATCTTGCAGAAGAAACAGAAGCATGAGTGATTTGTGCTTCCTGTTCTCAGTGCATATTTGTAGTATCCAAAATAGAATTCGAGTATCTCTGCCGTACTGGGATATGCAAATTGCCTCTGTGTCAGGATCAAGTGTTTTCCTACATAGGAAGATGCAAGATTGCAAGGAAACCCCAATCACTTTTATTTCTCTTGATTCTCTTTCTGACCTGAAAACACTTGTGTGTATTTCTGCTCTTCATGTTGCACCATGCTGAGGAAAAGGTTATATCACCAATGCCATGGGCCTGGTGAAGGTATAATAGGATACCATGGGTCCCTGTTGTGTGAATGAACTTGCTATGTGTTCTATCCTCTCCTCTTTTGAGGATAAAATATGTTTGCTTTTGTGGAAAAGAGGTTTAAATAAACCATGGTTGCTTGAATGAAAATGTAACAGAAAACTATGGTCAGCTTAATAAAGAAAGAAGCAATGCATGTTAAACCATGATAAGCTGAGAACAGTTGGAAACAGATTTTAAATTTTGGTTTGTTCTTAAATGGGTGAACATTTCCATCTGCCTTACTTAAGCCTTTCAAACCTGAAGCCTCATTAATTAAACCTGTTTCCGTGAAGACAGTGTTGCAATATTACTGAAAGCTTTGGAGCTTGAATGTCTGCCTCACCTGGAGATACCTAGGAATGGACTGAGATAGGAGATGCTGGTGAGAGCCAGAAACTTCTACAAGTGAGATGCGGCTGCCAACTATTTATAAAGTTTGGAGAACTCCACATGCCCTCTATGGATTTCACATCTACTTGACCTCGTGTATAACATGACCTTAGTTCTGTGTTAGTGGTTTTTCTCTCTCCTGGTTAGTACTAAACTCTTGGGTTAGGTCAATGCTAATACCCTGTTTTACTCTAAGGATTGCCATACTTTCATCAGGTACTTGCTTACTTCCACTGAGTTCATTTCTAAGGGCTCCTATTACATTTTCTATATTGCTATATTTGTGGCAACTCCTTTGGTATTTTGCAAGCTGCTTTTTGGCACAATTGTGTGGAAAATCAGAGTATAAACAAAGCAGATGAGATTGAAACTGTGGCTAGTTTCAAATCAGAAGTAGAAAGTTTGAGATGTTCCTCTAGCACATCTGAAAAGAGTTCTCGTATTGAAAGAGACAAGGGAATGATGTTAACTCATATCTTTCTTGACCTTCAGAATAAATAACACTTTCTTCAAAGGAAAGAAATGACAATGGGTTAGTAATGTGCCACTGAATGACTTTTTTTCCAATGCTGATTCCTAAATAAAACAACTTGTTGGTCCTCCTCTTCCTGCTTTCAGCTCACACAGAGTCTCCTTTCTATGAAGAGTGGTGGTTCCTGCTTGTGATGGCTCTCTGCAGCCTCATCCTCATTTTGCTGGTGGTGTTTGCCCTGATCTTGCATGGCCAGACCAAAAAATACCGGAGCTGCAACGCAGGTGAGGTGGCCTTTCCATTGCAGTCCGCTGTGCCTTTCTGCCTTTTGAACCAACCCGAAAGGAGTATTATCTAGGAGCATCAGAGGCTGTTGTGTAATCAGCTGTGCCCTTGCATCAGTTTTTTGCTTGAAGATATGAGCTGTAGGTTGCTGGAGAGATCCAAAGGACTGCATCAGCCATAGTGTGAGCGCAATGGATACAACTGCAGAACCTTCCCTGGTGAAAAACAAGTGCATTTCATCCAGCCTTCTATGCTTGTTTTCTGTTTGCATGGGGGCTTGAAGATAGGAAAGCACAAAAGGTTATTCTTCCTCTTGCCATCTGAAACAGTGCCTTGCTTTCTGGCAGCTCCTTCTGCTGTGTGTATTGTTGACCAAATCTAAGGGCCTCCTTTCCAAACTGTAGGCTCTAATGGGAGATATGCTGCTCCTCACACTATACAACACGCCTTCATAAAATGGTCAGGTGAAATTTTGGGTTGCAGTCTGGGAGACAACACCTGATCCTCAATGTCCACATTAGTTTTTCTGCAAGACTTGCTTCAGGCCAACCGATCTTGCTCTAACTTTGATTCCCCACAGTGAGTTCTCGTCCCTTGGATTCTTACGGCACCCTTCACAATGCTTGCTGTTCCCTCTCCTTGGAATGCTGGGCTCTTCCTCTGTGAGAGGGGATGTTTCAATAGTCAACACTTAAAAAAACCTTCTCTCTTCTTCTAGAGCTTCCCATATCATTGCGCTCCCACCACCACCACTTTTCCTCCTGAGACGGAGAGATCTGTCAAGTGCTGTCACTGAGGATGCTGCTTGAGTAACCTGTGTGTATCTGTGACAGACACATTAAGTCTTTGATGCTGGGAGGCTGGGTTTCCCCTGAAACAAGGAGCAGGGAGAGAGGCCATCCTCCTGGCATCTGTGATTGCCCATTGTGTAGTTAATACAACAGTTTGTGCAAAGGGAGGGAGGGGTGAATAAGTACCCACCAGGGAAAGTTGCTGCTTCCTTTATTTTTCAGAAGACTCAGCAATTCAGCACTCAAAGAAAGGATTTATAATCTTCCTCCCCCCTCCCCCTATATAAATTCACTTCTAACAAGTGTTAGTAAATCAGATTTCACTCCCCTGGGACTTGAAATGTATGAATGCCATGGCATTTTACCAAGCTAATGCTATTACAGATTCCTGTGCACTGCGCATAGACAAATCTTCTCATCTCCCTCGTCACGCTCTCTGTCTGGAGGACAGACAAGAAAAGGCAGATCTGACCTGTACCTTCTTGTGAAGCTTTAATGCAGCCTTGCAGTCGAAGCTGGAAATAAATGACCTGCCAGAAACAGAGGAAATTTATGGCAGGCCAATGGGTGGGAGAATGTTTATTAAAATACTTAGAGCTGTGGCACACCAGTCCTTTGGGGTTATACTGTAGGGACAGCAGGCAAATATCTCAGGCAAGTCTCTAGCTGCCTAGAGCGGTCGAAATGACTAGATAGGTGGGGTATAAATACAATAAATAAATAAATAAAATAGGTTGATGGGGATCTGAGCAGGCCATTGAGATCAGCCTGATACTGTGGATGGTGTGTTGGGTTATATCTAGGGAGACCCAGATTCATGGCTACAAATGAACCCCGTGGTAAACATGGGCCTCTTACCATCTCTCAGCCTAACCCATCTCAGAGTCGTTGTAAGGAGGAAAGGAATGTGCTGCATAAAAGCCCCTGACCTCATCCAAGAGGCTTTTCAGTGGGCTTGTATACAATATACAAGTTAGAGACAGCTGGAGAGCCACGTATGTTGGTAAAGCAGGCACCAAACCCATTTCCAGCTTTTGATGCTTACCATGGCATAAATCCAGTTGTTAGTCCCAGCCATGTACACCCACTAAACCAGAGGGTGCCACATAAGTACAGTACTTGTTTTCTGAAGACACAGATTTTTAAAAAAGGAAGTAGGGGGAGCCAAGGATGTTTGCAGGACCTCAAAAATATGGCAGAGTTGCCCTCTACTCCAGAAGAGGACTTCCTTGGCACACACACACACAGATAAAACAGGTAGGGGCTCAGGACCCTTGGAGGTCTGCGCTTGTTCTATGGGCTGCCTGTTGCCCCCCTCATCCTATATCACACCTGTTGTACCTTCAGCACATTTGGATGGCCAACCTTTGGGACACTGACCCTTGTGTATAATCTGTGGATGTCTGATTAATGACAATATGTACACTGGATATTAAAATCACTAGCTGATGTTTATGAATTACTTTGGAAACTTTGTATTCCAACGTATGATCAAATGAGGCATTTCTAAAGAAAGAGAGAGAGAATGAAATATTTTGCTGGCCAGCACTTAGGAGACAAATATTTCTTGCTTTTCCTCCTGATTCTTGTTTAACTTTTGTCCTTCTTTAAGAGCTTTGAAAAAGCTACCTGGCTTTTAGTATGAGCTCTTATTAAAACCTTGGCACAAGAATTCTATTTTCTGTTCTCCATCATATACCAGTTGATTCTACACAACGTATACAGAATGAAAAGCAGAAATGCATATAATTATACAATGTGGTTATGCTATCATGCACATGCTTATTTGGACATAAGGCCCAGTGAAATCAAGTGACAAGTTGCAAAAAGGGGGTGCAGAATGAGGTCAGATGTCATCTCTGGCAGCCTGGATTAGAATGCTACCACCTCTGAGTTCATTCTGCAACCCCCATTTTCAAATTTGCTTTCAACAAGAAAACAAGGACTGCATATCAAACCCATGGATTCTGGAACTTTTATGCCCAACCTAAGGAAAACTCTGTAGAGTCAAAAGCTAGCTTCTGCTTGTAACATTGTACTGGTCTAAATAGAGATATCACCTCTCCTTTTGTCTGAGCCAGGTACAAGGGTTACATGCCTCCCCACCCACCCCCCTTTTGATTATTGAGACTTGCTCTTATGCATAGTGCATGGTGCTATAGGGTGATAGTGTTACATACAATAAATAGGGAGGCCAGTCATGTCTACATGTACAGCAAAACAGGATAGTACTATTCTGAGGTGATTGGTTGGACCACAGGACTTCAGGGGAATTTTTATGAAGTTTAAACACGATAAAGCACAGGAGAAAAATTCTAGCACAGTTTGTACTGTGCTAAATTTCTAGTTACAGGGAGGTTTTGCAAAGGAAAATAATCCCTGCTTTTGCTGCTTGCCATGGCTTCAATTCAAGAATATAATTCTGTTCTTCCCGTCTGCAACAATAGGGTCTGCTTTCACTTCAGAATGCCATTATGTCTTTCCTACCTTATTTCGCTTAGACTTCAAAGCCTAACAAATTCACTGGAAATAATTTCCCAGTAAACACAGACAGAATTAGGTTGTAAAGGTGTAATCCTAAATATACTTCCTTGGGAATAAATCCCATTGAGACCAATGGAGCTTTGCTTTTAAGATAACTTGCATAAGATTGGGGTTGCATAGCTTGAAAGCATCCTTTGTGTGGTCAGGCCATACAGGTGAGATGAGTTGCTAAGCCTGGAAACAAAAAAATCACTTAATCCTGTTTGCTTAAAATTTTGTTCCAGCCACATATGCTTGATGAAGAAACCTGTGTATTATTGGAAAGCTTGCTGTCCATACAAAAAAACAAAAAAACACTCTTGTAAAAGCAGAAAATGTAACCTACTGGAGTTTGCGCATTAAAAGATATTATCTTAGGATGTTATCCGTAAAAACAAAAAAAGGAAGTGGAGTAAAAAATGCCCTTTGTGGTAGAAGTACAGTAATAAGGGAACAGGACAAAATCCCTATGACAAATTTTCTTCTCCTCTAATAAAGACCTTGTTCAAAAGGAAGGATGACTATCTGAAAGTGGTGGTTCTCTCTCTGTCTTCATGCAGAGCCAAGGCAGGGCCTTTGCCTGCGCTCATTCTGTCGCCGTTTGTCCCCAGGAAAAAGCATTTCCAATGTGGAGGAGTCTGTCACTCTGGATAATGGGGGGTTTACGGGCCTGGAGCTCAATAGCCGGCACCTCCATGTCAAAAACACTTTCTCCAAGAAGAATGGAACAAGGTAAGCCAACTCCATGCTCTTACGATAAGTGGCCTTCAGCCATTTCAGTATAACTGACCTGGTGCAGAAAATGCGGATAATGTCCGTGGCAATGAGAAGGTTTTGCCATATTCTTAGTTATTCCCATTTCAAGTCCAACCCAGCCTAAGAGCTAGGAGTATATCACAGTACATTTCACCATGCATTTACAATGTCCTTTTGAAACAGGACAAAAATAATGGCACACATCAGCAGTTTAGCCCGGAGTTAATTCATTTTGCAAATTCTGTGTTTCCTGTCCCCTTTGTAGTGTTATGCTCTCCCGTTTTTCTGAGTGGTTAGAAGTCCAGTACATGGGATGTTTGTCTATGAAAGCAAGAGCCCTGGAGGAATTAATAAAATCATCATCATAATCTGTTACTTCACCAATGTTATGAGTTGAGCAAGTATTATGGCCAGCGGGCGGGGGAATGGACTACAGGGAAGAAATGTGCTGTTGCCTATTCAGTATTTTTCCAGCATTTTGAAATCTTAAAACAGTCATTCAACTACATGTATAATTACTTTTCTTGTGAGAACATCTTCTGCCTGTGCTAGAGGGGGTAAAAGGGGCTAATGCTGAGCTGATGGCTGAAGAATAACAACTCCAGAAATTTATAATCAGACAAAAAAAAAACCCTTACATTCATTTCTTCAGGAAATCCATTCAGAGGAGGAAAGTGTCTTAAAGTTTTTGCTGGCTTCAGGTGGGGGGGGACATGCAAGTAGCCATGTTGATGGAGAGGCCCACTTGATGACAATTTCTGACAAAGAGGGGAAAGAACTACTCTGACTTTTAAGAAGGAAGTAAAGCATGAGAGCAGCAATTTGCATATCAATAAGTGGCTACTTAGAAAACAGAAGAGGTGGGAAAAAGATACTTGAGCCTGGTTGATTATCTGCCTGGCTGATTCAGGCTACTAGGTCCATGCCTTTGTGCTTCTAACTTCCACCACTTCTCAAATGAATACACATTCTTCACTTCCAACATGCCTTGGCCAGATTCGATAACTCACATGCCAGGTTAAGTGAAGCAGTCAAATGACTGCAAATGTGCCAGGGTCCTGTACTGGGATGGCATGAGAGGGAAGATGTTGCAATATATTCTGCACAAGCTGCTCTCGGAAGGAGATGTGCATTCTATGCTTTCAAATCAGATCTGACTTATAATGACCCTAATGGGGTTTTCAAGGCAAGTATGATATTTGAGGAGTGGTTTTACCAGTTCCACTCCCACAGTGAGATTCGAACCCTGTTCTCCAGAGTCCTTGTCCATCACTTTATCCACTACATTGCACTCAGAATCCCATAACAGAAGTGCCTCTGGAAAATGCTAAGATATTCTTTTAGAAGTCAGCTATGTTCTATTAATAGCAAGGATATGATACTTTTCTTCTTACTTACCTCTTTGGATTTGATTCTTTAATATTTTTTCATTATTTATTTACAATTTCTTACTGTGAAACTATTTATTTAAGCATGCAGCTACATAGTTAGGAAAGAAAAAAAACCTGTGAGGCACATTAAATGGTTCACAGGTATTTCCTGCACACAGATGCAAACCCCTTACACCAACACAAAGATTACAGTATGTGTGTTCTGTCTGACAGAGAACAAAACTGCCATGTGCCTTACTTTATTCCTTTGATGTATCCAGATCTCCTCCTCGCCCGAGCCCTGGAGGCCTGCACTATTCAGATGAGGACATCTGTAACAAGTATAATGGAGCAGTGCTGACGGAAAGTGTCGCCCTCAATGAGAAACCCTTGGATGCTTCAGAATCAGAGGTGAGTTTCGATCTCAGTAGCTACATGAACCGCATTAGAATGGAACAGCAGGTAATCTGGAATGGTTGCTAGTCTTAGTGAAATGGAAGGTAGAGCGAAGGGGTGTCCAGTTGCATTTTGAGAAATACCTCTCAAGAACAGCCATCAATTAGTGTTAGAGCTTCAAATAAGAGCAAAAGAGAATTTATGAAACTATATTACCTGGATTTACCAGGAGGGAGTACCCAGAAAAATTTTGTTGTTGCAGCTAGGTAAGTTCTGCATTTAGATTTAACAAATCAGCATATTAGATTCTTTGCCAGCATCTATTGTCAATTTCACACTGGTATGCTTGCTGAAACAACTACTGTATCTGAAACTCTCCCTAAGAGCCTGAAATTGACAAAAGCAGCAAAAGATACAAAAATCCTACTCAGAATATTTCAGGCATAAGAAGTACAAGATTGTCAAATTTATCTTGGCAGGAAGTTAGTGAGGAATACCCCCATGAGTGAACCTATGTGAATGGTTCACTCACGGGGGTATTCCTGGCCTAGCTTGCTACACAGGTAGTGGTAACTTCCACCATCTCCCTGCTTCTTTCATCCCAATCAGGCATTGTCTTCATACAGTCTCTTTCCATGTTTGAAGCTTTGTTTGAGTCTCCTTCCGACTCTCAACTTCAGTCCATTTTTCTGTGCAGCAGTACCGTATAATCTTGAAAGCCTTAAGTTGTCAAACCTCAGTGACCCCTCCCCTCCAGACACAATGCATGTGTTTATCACTGAATCTGAAATGTCATGGTATGAAAGGCAAATACAATCAATCAAAGCAAACGTCAGCAACATATTGATTAGGTACCTCCCACTATGCTCTCCAGTTATTACAGTAGTTTCATTCCTTCAGTGACTGGGAAGAATGCTTTGACAGTTCAGGACGTAGCCAGCTCCTTGTGACCCTATCTCAGTGGAGATTTAATCTGAAGAAACCTGTGTGTCACTGAAGGATGACTCAAATTTAGCACTGGGTCCATGGCTTCCCAGATAATGGCCTTATTCTGTGGCTGTTGCCAGCAATATACAGCAAAGCTGCCCCTGTTATTAACAATCTTGCTTCTTAGGGTGAGGAATATCATAGGTTTTAGTCTGAACTCAGCTATAGAGTTGAATTAGCAATATGTTCCCCTGTGTCTGTTGCACAAAAAGCAACCTGGCTCTGGCTGTTTAGAGGTTTCCTTCTATAGTCAAAATAGTCTGACTGGTGTGTGTTTGTGTCCGCCTCTTCCTTTTTCCCTTTTTGTTTGTTTGTTCAGCCGTTTAGTCGTGTCCGACTGGCCATGGAGATTTTTTCTCCCTGCTAGGTCTCACAGCTGATCACACCTCGCAATTAGTAAGGGAAGGAACTGGTAGGATTAAGCCACCACCTACCAGGACTTCAATCCATTCCAGTTTTCTTTGCCTTCAGAGAAACTTTAGCATTCTGGGAAAGCTCAGACAAGTTGCTTTTGACATGACAAAAGGATGAATCCACTGGGCAACCAGGGTTCAAGACTCAGTGGAATAGTCTTTAAAATATGCCACTGTTGTATCTTAAGAAAGGCTTCACATTATTTAGATTATTTAAAGAATCAGTATCTTCCAAAGTGTGGTTTATCTAGGTAAATAACACCAGAGAATATGAAAAGAGGTTCAATTATGAGGTCCAATGGAGTCCTGGAAAGTGGAAGCTAGAGCAGAAAGAGAAGTAGAGACGATCCATTTCTCTGGGCCTAAATTGTCCATTTAGACTTTGTTCCAAAGCACAAGTCCCATAAAGGATTTTAAAAAGTAGAACAGCTATGTAGTCTTTTTGCAAAATCCAAAATTGGGTGGGCACTACTTTTATTAGATAGTTAAATATTACTGAAAGGCAAGCTTTCCCAAGAAGCTTACCTTTTAATTTTATTTTGTAAGGTCAATAAATGTGCCACACATCTCTTACTCGGAGAAAGGGATGCACTTACTTGAGTTGTATCCTCAAACTATGTACTTCTTCCTACCACCTCATCCCTGAAGTTCATGTGGGAACAATGTGGTATCATTCATTGGGACATAGTGGGATGAACACAGCAATGAATATGGAGGGAGACTCAACGTTACGATTTTAAAACCCTCTTAAATACAGAGAAATTATGAGAGGAGTAGAACTCACTATAATCCCTTCCTTTCTGTGACAGGATTGGTTGATCGGTCTGTCTGTCTGTCTGTCTGTCTATCTATCTAGTCCCTCCAGCTATCTTCTCAATTTCCCAGATGTTCTTGAACATCTGCTCCTGCCTAATCCAATAGGGGATTAATAGAGATAAAGTGAGAGTGAAAATGCTTGAGAAATGTAACCAAAAATAAATCTCTCAGACTCATATCAGGATTTCACCACCTTCTATGGCTTTCATAAAATAACTGCGTTGGAAACATAGCACATTGTATGCCCTTTACTTCCTCTGTCATGTGCTTTTAATGCTGACATTTGCAATTGCAGGTCCTTGTTAATAAATGAGATTTAGAAGGGGCATTTGTGAGAGTGTGGGGGCAAAAAAAAAAGGAAATGTCTGTTGTGAACTTGGATAAATAAAAAGGGAAAGCAGCAGGCCCTTTAATATTAAAAGCTTGACTGTTGAACAAGAAGAATTCAGGAAGTACCAGGATCAGCTAATGGGGTGGGGAGAAGGCAATAGTGTCTGTTGCCTTTTTGTAGACTTTCTCTTCTCCTCACCAGCCTTTCACCTCTTGTTAATTACCTTGGGCAACTTGCTGCTTTGTGTTGCCCTCTGACCAACCTGCAGGGGAGACAACTTTCCTTATTGCACCATCCCAGCGATTGCTTGTGATGAATACACATTATCTTGAGATTACGCTCACAGTGGCTCTGCTCTTCTCTCTGTGACAACCTGGAATTAAACTTGCCATTAGGAGAGCGTGCTGGGCATAAATATGAATTTTGCTGTGCTGCTTTTTGTTATTCATGTCAGGAGTTCCACATGCCGGTTCCTGATAGTGCATAATGACCATCTCCTGCCTGAGGCAACTTCTGCATGCAGATACAGTATAGACAAAGGTCACCAGAGTCCATCTATTCTCTTGTTACACTCTTTCCTTGGCCTTGATGTCAAGGTATACAGAATCTAAAGTTCCATTTGGCATAGTCATAGTCCTGTTTTTGTGACAAACAGAATAAGGCTCCCATTTTCCTTTAAAAACATTGATATCTACTCAGTCTCCATTGGCCCTTTGATGCCTGTGTGTTTTGAGTCCTTCGCTTGCTCTTGGAGAAAATACTCACAGACATCCAGCAGAGTTAGCAGTATAGGCTGCAGTCTCTTTTGATCATTCTGGAAAAGTAGTTTTATCATGACATTATTGTCTCCTTTCTTTTTTTTAAAAAACTGCATCTGTTTTGTCTTGTCATGCTCTGCCGTTCTGTGCTGTTTTAGGGTGGTATTCCCCCACCCCTGATCCGCTGCAGGGTCTGCTATCAAAAGCTTTCAGGGAAAATGAGCTTTTCCTTAACCAAGAATTTCAGCTACTCCATCTTTATGAAGAAAAGATGTCATGAGGGATGTGGGGACTAACCAACTTATTTCCAGGAGAGCTTGGCTAGATGCTATTCATTGTGCAGCTGAACCTATCTGAGCATGTCGTCGTGTTATTTTCCCTTTGATTGAAGTTCCTGTGTGCAGCATGTGATCAAGTGCCAGAACAGCCAAGGCCAAAATCATCTTGATCCATATTTTCCTCTAAAATTTTAGCCTCATACTTTTAGATGTTGCAGCTGTACTCATGATGGAAAGGTGAGCTGCTTTTACACAACCCATTTGACTTATGTTATGGTTGGAATAGTCTGGCTCCAAAGAGTGAGGGCAGCTGTTCACGTATTGTTGGTCTGAACACTGCAATATTTCACTTCAGTGACCAGCCCTAGCATAACATTGATGGTGGAGGTGAGAGCAGTAATCCAATTCTTTTATGTGCATACCCCATCTCAGCCCTGCATCGTTCACGTACCAGCTCTATGAAAACAAAAGCAGTAAGAGGTAGGGAAGGAAAGTGGGGAGGCTCTTACAAGATAGCCCTGTACTGTGGTGGGATTAAAATGGTCTTTAAAAATCCCCAAAATGGCTCCACTTGAAAGCAGTGTTTTAGCAGTAGTGAGTAAACATGACTTGGGTGCCTTCCAGCCCTGCCATCCTAAGATGATGATTAAAAGTAATGATTTTGCCAGTTTTTTTCTTTTTTTAAAATAACTTTGTAACATCCTCGATGCCCCAATGTGTAGCAGGTAACAAGTAATACATTACCCACAGCCTCCAAAGGCTCCTTAAAAACAGTCTTGAAGTACAATGCAAACAGGCAATTTATAAATTATTTCAATGAAAATTTAGTTGTCCTCAAGCATTCCATTTCAGGATACAGTGAACATGTGAAGCGTTTCCATCACCATCTATAGACAGGTAAGACTTTCTACCCAACCATTCTAACACTGGAGGGCCTTTATGGCCCTTTGTCCACTATAGGAATAGCTGTCTCCTTCAGACAGAAATTCTCCACCTGGAGGCTACCACACTCTTCCTCCACACTTGTCTACTATAACCTGCAACAGAAGGATTCTTCCTTCTCAAATGAACTAATGAACTTACAAATCTTGCTTATCTGAAAGCAGATGGACACCTCCTATGTCTGACCTGGGATTTTTGCATGGGGAGGCAGCACTGAAGAAATTGCAGCCCAAGGGTGCTTAACCTTCCCCAAGTTCTCTACTGTTGTGCCAATCTAGGCCCTTTTTAATCTCTGCCTTCCCTAGCTGGACATGGACACCTAAAGCGATCTCAATTTACTGGCAAATGTTCAGGGTGTGGGCAGTATTCAGCATCTCCTTGCCTGTCTGTTCTCCCATCCCAATCTTCCCCAACCAACACACTTGCCTTACTTGGGCTAACCATGTGCTGAGAAACCATATTTGCTGAAGTAAACACATATACGTCTGCCTTGAACCAACTGTTGACCCCATCAGAGAAGTTGCACTGCTGTTAAGGCTTGATGGTCAGGAAGCTTTGGATGCCCTCCAACATAAATAAAGAATTTTAATGAGGTTAAGCCACTCACATAAATAATGTTTACTTCTAGCAGTCAGAAAGAGAAAATTGCTAGGCCAGAGAGGTGTGAAAGAGATCTGCTTAATATGATCACCGAAAGCTGTTTGCTGCTTCGCTGCCATGTGTTTGTCTTGTTGTAAATGCACACAGTGCAACAGCCTTGGCCCCCAACACTACAAGCCATCTTCATCCAAGGAGAAAGAGCTCTTCCCTTGGTGCTTTTCCCTCCATTCCTTCGTGCCCACAGAGAATCTAAGGGTGTTTGCAAAGCTTTACAGGAACCACAAAACTCTTTCTTATTTGTGCTCCTGACAGAACACACAGGGGAATTTCTCACCACTGGAATGGAGAAGGTCTAGAGCAGTGGTCCCCAACCTCGGGCCTCCTGATGTTCTTGGACTTCAACTCCCAGAAATCCTGGCCAGCAGAAGTGGTGGTGAAGGCTTCTGGGAGTTGTTGTCCAAGAACATCTGGAGGCCCAATGTTGGGGGCCACTGGTCTAGAGAGAACTGAGGCCAGAAAAGAGAAAGGGTGCTGGTGGCAGATATTGAGGAACTGGCAACCCTTCCCCATGGTGGTTGAAAGAAGGACAAGAAGGTTGGACCACTGTAGTCTTTTGAAAAAAGGCAAATATCTTCCCACCCCCTACTTATAAATAAATGCACACAATTCCCTTTCCCCAGCCTTTTCAAAAAGAAATTTGACAGCCAGAACAGTTTTTTTAAAAAAATTCCCTCTAATGCCAGCCTTAAACTGAACTAGCCCACTAGTCCCTAATTTGTTCCCTAATAGCATTTGTTTCTTTCATCTCACCAATAAAAATACTTTAAATTGTCAAGCATTTTCTCTTATGTTGTTGCTTTGCAGGCTTCTGTGCACCTTTGCTTGTCAATTTCTAATCTAGCCGGACACCCAATCAAATGCCGGGCTGCTGCTGTTGCCTCGGCAACCAGCCTGCAATTGCGGTAAAGGGGCTGGCTGCGCAGCAGAGACAAAAACGGCCCTGCAGCATTTCCATCTAGTCAATAGTTTTTGAATCATTAAAAATAATACAGCCACTCTAAAATATAATACAGTTGTAGGTACAATTTGGATAACAACAGAGGAGAGAGGGACGAATCAAACCTCAAGAGTTCCTGGGTTAACAGCACTTGGATCTGAGTTCCCAAAATCTATTGAGTTCCAGATGGCACACTGGGCAAATGCTCAGTCATCCATGTCGATATTTTCCGTACACGAGAGGAGGAGGCAGCTGCAGATCTCTCTGTGCTAGATTCATGCCGAGGATCTTCAGTGCCAGCTCTCTTTGCCTGCCCTTTGGCTCCTGAACCTGCTGCCGGCCACACCAGATAAACGTTAAGCTCCTGGTAATCACCTTTTTCACACCGTAAGTCTCCATGTTTTAAACAGAGTGTGAATTTCTTTGTTTTTGAAAGAGAAGCCTTTAGTATTTTTTCTTACCAGGACTCACATACAGATGGCCATTGACCAAATGGTAACATGCTACGATTTCAAAACCTTGGATAGGATTCGCTGGGGAAAGTGTAGAGCAGCAGGAAAATAGGAAAAGCAAACAGGAGATGGGCTGACTCCCTAGAGAAAGCTAAACAGCAGGGCTGTTTGGGGCAGGACATTTTGGAGATGGTTCTTTCACAGGGTTGCCATCAATTGAGACCGACTTGACAGCACAGAACAGCAACAAAGTTCTCGCATTCTAGGTCAATTCAACAGCTGTGGTGGTTCTTTTTCTCATGATTCTTCATTTTCTGAAGATATTTAAATGCTCTAAAACACGGTATGTTAATAGTTGCAAGAACCAGCAGCTCATTAATGTAATCAGGTACTCTCATAGTTTGCTTGAATATAGAGTAGAAAACTGTTATGCAAAATCAGTCAGCTATTGTATCCTTATTTTTTCTTGAATGACATCTACACATTACCTAACGTTTTTACTAGTTTCACTGTTATATGTATTATCAGCTCCCTTATTTTTTTGTGAGTCCATGCTTTCATAAACAGCTCTTTAAGAATATAAGGCTGGCAGCCCAAATAAACAATTGTGCATTTAGAGTAAATTCCATTGAATTCAGAAAGATTTAATTCTGAATGAACATGCACAACATGTTTATCACTCTACAATTCTTTACTGAACAGAATGTTGCTTTTTTTGAACTATTTCCTTAGCTACATTCAGACAGCTACAACTCCTTCATAATCTCTTTATTTATTTAAAATATCATTACCCCGCCTTTCTCCTTAAAAGGACCCCAAACGCAGCTTACGTCATTAAAAATTATATAATAATCTACAATGCAAGTACCCATATTTCTTCTTCTCCCATATTTTGCTGTGTCTTGTTCTGCAAATTTTCTGTCTAGTGCACACAGGTAAATGCTGCTTGTTGAACAGAGCACCTAAAACTACTGCTGAAAGCCAGGCATGGGTTTTCTTTTTTACAGGGAGCTCCAATGTCAAAACAGATTTTCTGGACTCTACGTTGTGTCTGGTAGGCAGAGCCTTACAAACTGAAAAACTCTATCCTCCACAATAAAGATCTCTACCCAAAGGTGTAGTCAAGAAGACATGTGAGGTGGCCACAGGAAGAGAGTTGGTTCTCTTAAATTGACAGAATGATAGACTGCCAATCTAAGTTACTGGGCACAAGCTTCAGGAAATTTCTCCTCCTCATATAGATGTGAGAATGGAGCTTTTTAAAATTGGGAGAGGGTTTTATTTATATTTAAATTTCACTCTGTCCAAGGGCAATACACATTATGCAGAGCAAAAAATGAACTACAGAAGCAGCAAGGAAGTAGATAAAGAAAAAGAGAGAGACCAAAGTACCGGTCCCATCAACAATGAGCAAATACAGTGTGAAACACATAATGGAAGACAAAGGTGGGGGATGGGAAAGAATACGATTCCACAAGACATGTGAGGTCCAGAGTGGGGGAATCACACATGTTCCTACTGATGGTGGCATTACATGGGAACAAGGCACCGTGTTTAACAGGTCCCCCTGGCCAGTTTGTTCCAATGGGTCAGTCTCAAGACTTGTGTAGCAGTTTTGTAAACAAACAAAGAAGCATGTAACAGTGATTCCCAACCTTGGATCCCCAGAGGTTCTTGAACTAAAACTCCCAGAAGCCTTCCTCGCCTGGCCAGGATTTCTGGGTGTTACAATCCAAGAATAGTTGGGACCCAAGGTTGGGAGAGCCACTGATATAGAATATGCTAATAGAGTACATCTCTGTCCTGACAACTACTGACAAATCCATAGAGAACAAAAGACAATGGAGTTTGATCTATAATGATAGGCTAGTAAGGGGGATGGGCATTCCTTTAAGCAGCAAGGTCCAATATTAAGAGACCCTAAGATAAAACTACAGCCTCATGTGGAATAAAGAAAGCACCTTTTTCCTTGTGCTCTGCCATTACTGTGATGAAAACAAGGCAGGTGGCATCTATGGTAGCTGGAAAGAACATTGAAACGTGTCATTGTGCATACACATACCGATACTATACAGGCTGCCAACTAAGAGGTTGCTGCCTGTACATAGAGACCTCATTCTCATGCAGGCTGAATCTGTCTTCGTCGTATTTATGGAGCAATGTAGAGCAGTATACGGTGTTCCACGGACATGTGGCTGAAAATCACCATCATGCAAATGCTAACGGACCTTTTTATCTCCAAATCTACAGGCGACCGATTCGGACTATGAGGATGAGTTGCCAAAGCACTCTTTTGTCAACCATTACATGAGTGACCCAACGTACTACAACTCTTGGAAACGGCAGCAAAAGGGCACAAAGCATCCAGCACCATACAGATATGAGGAGTGCGTGGCAAGCGAGACGGAACCTTATTTCCAGACTGTCATCACAACACAGAGCTCAGGGGGGGTGTACACTCCAACAGGACAACCTGCTCCAGGTTCAAGGACTCCAGTGACAGGCTTCTCCTCCTTTGTCTGACATCAGGAGAAAGAACAAGGACGTAAGCTCAGTAACCTGCCAAGAAGTTTAAAGGAACCACCACCCAAGCAGAGGACTGTAAACCTGATAGGTGCAGTGAACTGTGGGTAAATTTCTCTTATCAGGGTAGACTGGATGTAAATGTGAATGTTTTTTTTTCCAAGACAATCAACTCTATAAGATACAGAGCTGACCTAGTTGAATTTGGTTTGATTTTTTTTTTCTAAAAATCCACAAACGATAAAAACAACTGATAATGTTGACCACTTTGGAATATGATTTAAGGGGATTTTTAAAAATTAAAAACACACACACACACATGCTTTTCTAATGCTGCTTTGGGAAGAAGCCTCTTCCAAGGTTCCTTCTCTTCTCAAGCCAAGGAGGTGACTTCCATTTTTGTGGATTAAGTAGCCCTGTTGTGATGCAACTGAAGGTGAAAGCATGGTCTCCCAAATGCTCTCCCCCTTATCCTAGGAACCAGATTAAGCAGGAAAACACAGGGGAGATGGAAGAAACTTCAAGAATGGTTGTCTCCCTGAATGTCTCTTTCTCCTAGCTGCTTCTGCCTTCAAAACACCAGCTGGATCACTCAGTATTGTGTCTCTCCCGCTGGCTACAGTGAACACTCCTGGTGGTTTCTGATCAACTATCTTTTGCTGTCTTTTCTAGCCTTTTCTAACCAAGCTTGTTGTGATCCTTAAGGAAATTCCCTCCCTAGGTTTCTGTTAGACATGTCAGCATAAAAACACAGTAGAAAGCATTAGGTGAAACAGTTGAAGAAAGATGCTGACAAGGTGTCAGTTTTGCTCTTATTGTGGGTCTGATTCCTCCTTTGTAGAATGCATGTGCCAATGTCCTTTTAAAATCTAAAATAATAAGAAATACCCAGCAAGAAGGGTCCATTGAAAGAAGATGGTATTTATGAGTTGTTGGGGAAAGAACACACAAGTTGGAAAAAAAAACACTTTTATGGTTTTCAAAGGGGTCGTGTAAAGGAAACGAACCTCCTCCCCTTGTTTGCTTTACCAAGTGGGATGCTATTTCCAGCTCTGTTTAAAAAAAAAGTACATGTTAACACCAGATTTGTTTGATTTTTTTTAAAAGATGTATATTTTTAATGATTTTTTTTTTTAAATACAAAGACACATCATACTCTACTGGGTGATCTTTTTTTGGTGTCCACAGGTGTCTTTTTTGTGATAGTTCAGCTGTTTACACAAGAGCAGCAGCCCTGGGGCTCTGAATGATGCTCAAACAGTTTTAGAAACCACAGGATCACAAATTATCTCACACATACATGTTTCAAAGCGACTGCTGTGCTGGAGCACTGGGCTGTTCTGTTGTTCTCCCTGTCGCATGGTGCCCTGTCTTTGACCCAAAAGGATGCAGCCAGCTCCTTTCTGCCAAAGCCCATTATGTTTACTGCTGGTTCGTGTATTGGAAGGAAAGCTGCTGATCCACTCCAGACATCAGTCTCAGCAGGAGCCATGCAAGAACCATGGGGGAACAGAAAAGACCGTTGTACACAGATTCTGTCTTTGGTACTACTGCTGTCCCTGGAACAAGGTCTTAGCTGATTCCTGCATCCTGCCGATGCAGGAACACCTTCCCAGAGCATCCACCAGTCCAGCATTAAGACTGTTCCTGGTTGCCTTCTCAGAGCTGTGTTGTCCTACTGGCATTGCTTGGTTTTACATTGCCCCATACAGGAAGGCTGAGGGGAGTTCTGACTCATTCCCATCCACATCCGTTCAAGATAGTAAGAAACAACACAGGAATAGGCTTCTGTGTTTCACCATATTTGGGTCGCTTCACTACTGCTGAACCCAATCATCAATGCCAACATTAACTTCTGTCAAGCAAAAAGTCGTGCTTGCTAACACTTTAATGGCAGATGAAGTAAGTGTTCTTTTCACTGCACACGCACAGATTAGACAGCTCTCACATTAACCACCTCTTTAGTAATGTATGGAGGGTCCCTCAGTGTCTTCTAGAAAGAAGACTTGGTGCCAATGTATTGTACTGTGAGAACAAAGGTGATCTTGTTCAATTTGCTTTCTGGTTAAGCAAAAGAAAACAGCATCGAGTTCTATAATGGTCATATTGGCACTCGCATTTCTAGATTATTCACATTTCAAAAATTCATTTCAAAATTTTTGAGTTTCACTGCACGAGGCCTGTGCACAAAATCTAAACTTGAAATGTGCAGGAACTTGGGTGTCAATCAATCTAGGGATTTAGAGCGCCGAGCTAAAAAAAAAGTATTCAAAATTTATTTTCTCTTGAATGCAAATCAGCTTCATACCTCAGCTTGTAAATTCAAGCCTCTGAGTCAAATTCAAAATTATATTACCAGCCATCGCCAAATAATTATGAATTTTGTTTCATGATCATATATATTTGCATTGTCTTAGAAATAGCAACACAAATGTGAATATATTTGACTTTTTAACCTGTCTTTCAATCAGCTTATATATATATTTCAGATGAAACTGTAAACCACTGAGTATGCATTGCATTTGCTCTTGAAATACTATTGCCATTTAGAGGTAGTAACTACATTGGGGCTTTGTGGTATTTATTTGTTGAAGGAGCTCAACAGGTGCAACATAAAGGTGGAAGAGAGACAGAAAGAAATTCTGTTTAGAACTGAAGGCTAAGATGTCCCTCAGCATACAATGTGACTCAGAAATTTGGTTTTGGTACCGGAACTGAGCCCATGTCATCACACATCCATCTATTCATGCCTGACAGCCTAATTTAGAGTGGGAAAAGAAGCCTGCAATCACTATTGCTGAAAATGTGAGAGTCAGAAAACATCACTATTCTTTTGCAAGCCACCCCAACAATCAACCAACTTATCATGATCTAACTGTTGCCAAGCCCTGTTCTAAACTGTTAAGCCATAGCACAGAAGATATCAGTCTTTAAAAAAAATCAACATACATTGATCTGCAATGGGACAATTGTACCCTGATCTTCCAGTGTTTCTGCTAAAATGAGCAAGAATATTGTACAAACAGAAAAATTGCCTCTCCTACATGAGACTAAGGGCTAGCTAGCCCACTCTTATATCTATCTCAAAAATAGCCAGGCATATCTTGCTGACATAGAAATGAAAATCATGGGAACACCCTGTTGTTTAATTCTAGCCTCTGGCGCTGAGGTAGACTGTTTCTGAGTACAGAACCCCTAATGAACAACAAAGGATGAACTAGTGACACAGGACTGAGGTAGTCTGTTTCTGAGTACAGAACAACAAAGGATGAACTAGTGACACAGGTGCGATTCCCCCCACTTCTGTATGCAGCACTATTGCTTACATGGCCAGAGGAAGACCACCAACGTATATGAAGGAAGATGTCAGCAGACTCTTTACTCCAAGAACCTCAGGGTTTTTTCCTCGTGGTGAGAACCCCACAACATAGTCCAGTAGAGACTCCAGTAGAGTCACTGAATGCTGACTTAAGGAGGTTTTTTTTGCGGTATGTTAAAGATAAGCAACTGATCAACTTTAGACAAAAAGCTATAAATGGTTTTGATGTTCAACTTCTTCAGTGAGAGAAATCCAGTCTGTCTTGGGCTTGAACAAGTGCTTGAATACCGGACTGGAGTGACGACCAGTGGCCTGGACAGGAGCAGCTCATGGGTCGTATGTGGCCCTTGGGCCGCACTTTGCCCAGGTCTGGATTAGAGTAATATGGGAAAGGTTATGGCTGGCTTGAATAGCAGACAGGAACCTTTGATAATATAGCATGTTATCTGCTACTCAGCAGAGCATTCTTGAGAGGCGATGATGCTGCCTAGAGACCTAGCAGAGTAGATCTTAAAGTTAGCTTTGCTGTCAGAAAGCCTTCCTGTTGGATTCTTTAGGTAAGTGGCTTGGAAAGAATGACGTACAAAGGAAAATGGACTTTTAACAACCACAATTCCCTCTAAGCAAGAACATATAACAGAAGAAAGCTGTTACTCTTTCCTAAGGGAGTCTTCCAAAAGTAAGAGGTATTAGCTTTATAAAATGCTCCCTCGTTCCATTTGCCTTTCAAATGGAAGATATCAAGGATGATTCTTTTAAGATCTGTTGACACTAGCAGGGTAATTTCTGCTCTCCCAATCCACATCCGTCTCCATAATCATATTTGTATTGGCTGTGTTTATTTAGTTACAACTGAGTCCAGAGAGGGTGTGCAACTGAAACACAGAGAACTGGGTATCCTCAAGACATAGGAATTGAATTATCCCTCACTTCTCTCATTATCATGTATTGCAGACCTGACAATGCTTGGACTCTATATGCAGCCTTAAGAAAAGAATAAATCACAAGAGTGTTTTATTACTATTTATCATAGATATAGGATAAACTGGTGGCTCTGTCAAGAAGGCTTTCCTCTATTGCTAAAAATATTGATAATCAATTTCTTTTTTGAACCATAGCCTTTTAAAAGCATGACATCTTATTATGCAATATTTCAATCAAGAGAGCCCAGGATATGCACATAGTGCACCATTTATGTCTTATAGCCAAGCCACATTTTCATTTCCACTCATATTTTTTGAATGCTCTAGAAACTCTATTTTAAAAAGTCATCTGCTCTAAGAAGTCAACGGAAGGAACAAACCTTGGTGTCCTATCTGGGGTCAAGCAAAAGGCATCAGAGTTCTTCTACTCTGAAAGGTTATGGGAGCTGTCCTGAAATATTGCATGTGCTTCTATTCACATTGAAGAGTGGATTGCAGAATCCAGAATGGATGCAACCCAGTCTAGTCTAGGTTCATGGCCTAGCACTGTTTGCATCTCAAAGTGGACCCACAAAGACCAGCCAGGGACTTGAGGATTCCTCAGCCATGTGCCATGGCTGTCACATGTGTGATAAAGCCAAGACACTGTCTGGAAACCCTCTGTGCTCCCAAGCGAGCTGGGTTTCTGTTTCAGATGAAATTTACACTGAAATAAATTTCTTAATTTTAAAGATACCACAGTACTGTTGGTTTTGTTTTGTTTATAGCAAAGCATTGTTGATATACTAAATCACAGTGGGCAGGTAGAAGAAATGTGGGGTCTACTTTTTTCTTTCTTTTACTAGAATCTATCAACCAGACTGGGATAAAAACAGCAAGTAAGAAAGATTAATGTTTGACCTAGAATGGAATGATAGGTTGCTTCTGCGCATATTTTTTTAAAAACAGGGCCAGAACTAAACCCACAGCTCTGTTGCACAGAAACCCATTCTCAGTTCAATTGCCTCAGCTTCCCTAGT